CGGAATGTCGGAAGGAAGGACTCGGAATGCCAGAAGGATTTGACAAGACAATTTACCTTATAGAGCTACCTGAGCCATCTTTGGTGTCAAGCGTAAAAAATAAATGGTTCATTTACTCTTCCTCTTTGAAGTTGTCGAAATACTCTGTTATCTTTTCTTTCAGTAGCGGCAAATCTTCTTTGAATGTAAGTATTGTACAACCTTTCATATCATAGTGTGTTTGAGGTAACGTATCTTGAACTATTTGTTTCACATCTTCATTCGGTGTCATTGAAATCGGTAAGTTTTCGCGATAGAACCAATTTCTGTCAGATTTGTAAATCTTAGCAAGGTCGTAAAAGCTTTTGTTGTTTCTTCTGACTAAATGCAACATAACCATATCTCTGTCTTCTTCATTTTCCATCTCTTCAGTATAAATCATATACTTATAGTTCTTTTCCTTTCCTTTTGGTACCGAACGTGGTATTCTTTTCTGTATGTTTTTGTCTTTTGCTTCAATGACTTCATCTTTTGCTTGAAGTTTCTTTTCCATCTCTTCACGTTCTTGTCTATGAATTTCATCTAACATCATGAAAATATAACAAGCGTAACGAGGTGAAGCCCACATTGCTACAGCATTTACTAAAAGTCTATGAACATAATATCCTTTCAAACTATTTGGCAAATTTTTACGATTTTCGTACGGAATCTCGTTCCTCGGTTTTCCGAGGAACGCAAACATATGAGGAAATTCTTCTAAAAGTTCTTTTGCCTGCTGGTTTTCAAACCAATGATATGCTTGCTTTGTAGAACGAAGAGCTGTCAAAATACTTTGCATTTGGTACATATCGTCTTTGACCGAACGAATGAGACGTAACTGTTTGTTATATTGTATGTACTCGTATTCTTCACTTATGGCTTCATGAACGATAGCAGTTGTTGTGTTCTCTGTTGTTGTCATATCTGTCTTTACATACAAAATAAAAAAAATATTTTATAAAAAATTAGCGTTATTTTTTTATTTTCACAAAAGACCAAAAATAAACGCTTTACATGTATTTTTCAGCAACTTCGTCAAGAAGTCTGTAAATATACCATGCATAACGAGGAGAAGCCCACATTGCTATTGAACTAACTAGGAACTTATGAACATATATACCTTTTAGATGCAATGGTAAGTTTTGTCTGTCTTGGTACATCTTTTTAAGTTCTACATGTTCGAACTCACTCAAAAGTTCATGAGTGCTATTTAATTCAAACCAGTCTTGTGGTTTCTTAGTGTCTGGAGCAAAACATGCTGTCAAAATACTTTGCATTTGGTACATGTCATCTTTGACCGAACGAATGAGACGGAGTTGTTTGTTATATTGTATGTACTCGTATTCTTCATTTATGGCTTCATGAACGATAGCAGTTGTTGTGTTCTCTGTTGTTGTCATTTCTGTCTTTACATACAAAATAAAAAAAATATTTTATAAAAAATTAGCGTTATTTCCTGACTTTCACAAAAGACCAAAAATAAACGCTTTACATGTATTTTTCAGCAACTTCGTCAAATAATTTTATAGCTTTATTTATCTCATCTACTTCAAACGTTTCTTTACCTTTTATGGGAGCACCATACATTTTCTCAAACTTTTCAAGTAGTTCTGTTTCAGCAGCTCTCATATCGTTAACGAACACAACCTTGACTCTATTGACTGTACTGTCATATCTTTGAGTTATATTATATGTTCTTCCTATCTTATATCTCTTTGTATTGAAGTCCTTCGGTTTCTGAACGATGTAAAGTAAGCCTTCACTGCAACGTTCCGTATCGAATGAACCATATGTTATGAAGTTATATCCAACAACTGGGTCTAACCATAACAAAACTATTGGTATAAGACTTTTGTCTATAAGATATGCTGTAGTTCCATAGAATCTTACCGATATCATAAGCTTAGGATTTCTTGTCAAAATTTTCTGAGTAGAAGCAATTTTAACCCAGTCCTTTGCTCTCTTTCCAGATGGAGATATAATGTCTGACAAAGAATATTTGTTGTATTTCTTTGAGTATCTTACGTTTAAATCACCTATTCTAACCAATTTAGTGTTATTGTCTATCTTTTTAACTGTTTCAAACTCAGTGTTTGTCATTTCTGTTCTTACATACAAAATAAAAAAAATATTTTATAAAAAACTAACTTTATTTTTTCTATCTTAAGGAAATTCATGAATTTCATACGGAATCCCTTCTCTCGGTTTTCCGAGGGAAGCAAGCATATGCCATTTTACTCAGATTTTTGTTGCTGAATTCAATAAAAATATATTTTAGGTGAAGAGGTGAGATTTCACCTGTTTTTTCACCTAATTTTTCACCTCATGAATTTTCATGATTTCATCGTACATGTTTTGTCAAGACTTCTTCGTACATGAATTTTCATGATTTCATCGTAAATGTTTTGTCAAGACTTCTGCGTAATGAGCGTAAATGACCCAAAAATATATTTTAGGTGAAGAGGTGAGATTTCACCCGTTTTCTCACCTCTTTTCTCACCTCTTTTTTCACAAGCGTTTTACATGAATTGTATGATGTATATTTGAAATCCTAAACAATTTCGTAGCTTCTATTTCTTCTTTTAGTATGTCAAATGTTTTAACGATACCGAAAGTTTCTTTATACTTCTTCTTGACATCAGATAGAAGGAAATCGTCTGCTGTTGGATAGTTTTTGTTCAGAAATTCTAACATGTCCATTTTATTTTCTGCTGGTTTCTCTGCTTCTTTCTTTAAGTCAGCATAGTCGTTTCGCATTCTTTCTATCTCTTTGACGGAGTAGTTATATTTCCTCATTGCTGCTTTACATTTTGAACATTGCGGGTTCATTTTTGCATTGTACATTGAAACCTTACCTGCAAGTACGACTAAGGCGTCAATGGTTTTCTTTAAATCTGAAGCAGTTGGTCTTATCTGTTCGTTCCATATTTTACCCCTTCTGTCTTTATCTCTTATCTGCCATACACATTTTGCAACTAACGAAACAAAGTTGTCGTAGGTCTTAAACTCCCCAGATTTATATATGTCAGAGATGTTCTTATATAACATGTCGCAATCTTTGTCCATGACTTTGTGGTTGCAATGAAATCCAAGAAACTCATAGTTAACCTTTCGTATGAACTTCTTTATTTCTACTGAGTCAGTCAGTCCGACTTCTATTTCATCGAATTCTGGAATAGTGAGTTTTTGTTGTTGGATTTCAGGAAGTTTAGGTAAATGGTCAATAATATCCTGCATTTCATAAAGATACTGTTCATTTGTTTCATCTTTCGCACTACAGTCTAAATTACTTGTTAAAAGTTCTTGCTTTATCTTCTGGATTTTTGTTTCGAAAGTATATGAAGAAGGAATGAAGCTTTTCATTTCTACTAACATTGACGTAGGATTCATGACTAACGAGTTTGGTGCTGTTGTTGCTAACATGTTCTTACAATAAAAATAAAAAAATATTTTATAAAAAACTAAAATATATTTTTTATCTTAAGGAAATTCATGAAAATTCAAGAGGGTAGAAAAGAGGTTAGAAAAGAGGTTAGATATACCCTTCTACCCTAAATTATATTTTTGTCGAAAAAAATGGTTCATTTACTCACAATATTTTTTTACAAAACGACCCCAAACTTTTAACTTCTTTTCTGCAGCTTCAAATGCTATCTTAGCGAGTTCATATTCTCTAAATTCTCTCTTTAAATCTTCTTGTTCCCATTGGTCTAGTTCGTATGGAGAATCTCTATAACCAGAACATATCTCACGTTCATGTTCTATTTGTTTTTCATGCATTTTTCTAACTTCTTCTTCGAACAAAGGTTTTGCATTCTCTACTGTATCTTCAAGTTCTTCTTCATCTAACTTCTCATGAACTTTCTTGTCTATGGAGTCCAGAATTTTTCCAACTGCTATGCAATATTTTGGAGAAGCCCACATTGCTATATAGTTTATGAGTCTTGGGTCTACATACGTTCCTCTAACATGTTTGATTTCATCCGGAATTCCTGCATGAACTTTGTATAAAAAGCAACCGCCGGAATTCCGGCGGTTGGTATATTCTTCACAAAATGCCTCAAAATACTCTTCCCAGGACTTATTTTCCAACAACTTTCTAAAGTCTTTCCTAAACTGCTGACACATATTTGTTGCATTTACATAACCATCCATGTCTCTACGTAAGACTTCAATACCGTTGTAAGTGCCTTTTGTGAATGTTTCGCCATTAGATTTGTTCGTGAACGTTTTTGCTTCGACTGTCATTTCAGTTCTTACAATAAAAATAAAAAATATTTTTTGGTGGCTTAACCGTCGGACATTCGTTTGTGGCTTAACCGTCGGACCACAACGATAAAAATCTCGACAAAACATATACGATGAAGTCTCAACAAAACATTTACGATGAAGTCTTAACAAAAAATATACGATGAAATCTATTTCCTGTGTTGTTGTCAAAATGTCATGTTGTCACACTTTTTCAGAGAAGTTAAAATGACCGAGTGACCGAGTGACCTGGTCGCCTAAAATATATTTTTTTCTATCTTAAGGAAATTCATGAAAATTCACCTGTTGAACTTTGTATAAAAAGCAACCGCCGGAATTCCGCGGGTTGGTATATTCTTCACAAAATGCTTGTTTTGAGGTTAAGCCACTTTTGGCTCCACCTCTTTTTTCAACCAAAAACTCATTTTTGTCGAATTCAGCACAAAATTCATGAAAATTCAACGGGTGAGAAAACAGGTGAAAAAACAGGTGAAATCTCACCTCTTCACCTAAAATATATTTTTCAATACTTTTTCAGCACTTTTCCGTAGTTGTATATGAAAGACAATTCGGGATGAAATTTCTTCATCTGATATATTCCTACCGGCGTTTGTAAACATATAGTCTAACGGTTTTGTATCTGCTACTTTTGTTCTTTGTTTTTCAACCTGAAGCATTTAATATATGTAAAAATATATTGTTTTAAAAACGTTTTTACTTCATGCAATGTTTTACTATTTCATGCAATGTTTTATTTCTGTGCCGTCTTCAAGTATGCCCCAATACTTACGCTTGGAGAGGACATGAACTTCGGTGAAAATTTTGTCCAATTTGAATTGACCCATCTTTTCACCGACTAAACCCATTTCAATGAGTTTGTTATAGCCTTCTTTGTTCGTCATGAGTGCGTCGATGTTCTCATAGTAAACCACAACTTTGGATTTGACTTCGGAGAAGAATTTGTTGTAGTTGTCAAGGACTGCCTTTGCGAACTGAGGATAGGACCAATGTTCGACAATAGGTTTTACTGTGGTTACTAAGCCACCTTGACCTTGAGTAAATTCGTATTTCAAAACAAAAGGGGAGAACCTTTCAACAAAGTTGTCGACCTTCTCATAGTGTTTACTCTTCATCGCTTGAGGTTTCTTAATGGAATATCCCCATGTCGAATTCATAAGCAATTTGAGTGTCATTGCAAGTTTGGGGTTTGAAGCTTTCCTAATATCATACAGTTGTTGTATGACTTTTCCAACTGTATAGTTCCTTCCCGGGAACTCGCCATCTTCGTTTGGAATTCCAGTTGGAATATATTGGACAAACCTCATGTACGCAGCGTTAAGGTCAACATAGTATATCTTTTCGTTTGAGTCGAACTTGTCGCATCCAATCGGTCCAGTTCGTGGAAATTCAAGTGAGTCTCTTATCTTCTGAGAAACTTCTCCTGTTATCTCATAAACATCGTCGAAGCAACCTGTTTCATATAAAACCTTCTGACCTAGCTCAGATGCTCTCCAATACAATTTGACGTCAATTGGATGTCTCAATGGAAGTTTGTTTATAGCATCTTGAAGTTCTTGCAACCTCATTGGAAGTTCTTCTGGTTCAGGTTGGTATCCGAACAATCCAACTCCTTTTGGAATTGTGTACTTCTTTTGTGCTAGAACTTTGTCTGGAACAACTTTTGGTCTTGCTAACAGTGAAAAGTTTGTTTCGTCTTTTGGTACAAAACTTTCTGTCAGCTTGTCATCTGGAATTGGTTCCAACAAACCTTTCTCGAAAAGAATGTTTACAGCTCTGACAATGTTGCACTTGCCTTTTCCGAACATAAGACTTTCGTTCAACATGAAGTGGTTGTGGACAATTGCAATCTTCAACCATGGTAAATTGAACTCAACAACATAGTCGTCATGTGAAGAACCTTTAGCTGTAGGTATGTTGACTCGGATATTGACATTTGCCAACGGTGCAATTTTTGCCAATTGACCTCTGAGAATGTACCTTGTCTTCACACATGACTCAAGGTACTTCATCTTCTCATCTGTAACAAGACCAGAGTTCCTGAGACATGTAAGAATGCAAGGTTCATTGACAATTGTTTCAATTGAATTGTAAATTCCATACCTTGTCAAGTCAATGTCAGACTTATTTATGAACGGGAAGTATCCAGCATGTTGTCTGACTGCTTGAGGGTTAGGTTGGTACCATTCGAACTTGACACTTGCAATTCCTTCAATTGCATTCAAAATGTCTGAGTCGGAGTCAACCATTTGTTCTCTCTTTGTAGTCTTGAAAGCGTCAAGAAGTTGTGCGGCTGTTGTGACATTGCCATGCGCATAGTATATATGACCATCTAAATCTGTTACGGTTAGTCTGAGATTGTATCCTTTCTTATTTCCGTCTTGTATGGCAGCAAGTACTCCCATGAAGCCTTCTTTGTTCTTTCCTTCGTCAAAGTTTACTGTAAAGGTTCGACCAGATGTAATTTGACTTCTAACTTCACGGTACTTTTCATATGCATATCTTGTTCTTTCCATGGGAGCATGTTTGTCTTCACCTTTTCCTTTTTTCCTTCTCAAGGGATGCAACTGTTCGTTATGTTTCCAGTAGAACCTGGCAAAGCCGTCGTGTCCTTCAACTTGAGGCTCAGTAACATTGAAAGGCATGTCCATAAGACGTTCTTCTTCTAACCTCTCCAGTCTGTTTGGATAGTTGCGCGCGCTGTTTCTAGGTCCATTTTCGTAGGTAGACCAGCCAGTTTGTCATAGAACTTTATGGGTCTTCCCTTCCTATATTTAAACTTCTTTGAAAACTCTCCAACCATATCTTTCAACTCTGCTTTTATTCTAGCAGACCTTCTATCCATTCTATGCGAGGGCATTTTTATAAAAATAAAAAAATGTTTTTACTTTACTTAACATAACCACCAGCTACCAAAAGTCTTTGACGCCAACCCATACCAGCTAATGAAGGTTGACTTGGTTTAGTTTGGAAACTAAACTTTGTTTTTGGTTTATCTTCAGTTTTTGGTTTTTCTTCTTCTATCGGTTTTTCGTCACTTTTCGGTTCCTCTGACTTTACTTCACTTGCAGGAACAGTTGTGTCGTCAACATCTTCATAAATATCATATGCCATTTGTTTTGTTTTCCTTTCAACTTTTTGTGTTTGTTTGTAAAGTTTAGAATATTTCGACTCTAAGTCAATGAGATGTTCTATAATGAACTGTTGGTCAGTGAAGTAAACTTTTCCATCTGTTGTCTCGAAAGCTCCTTCAGACTTCAATATTTTATTTGTGAGAGTCTGTTTCTTTTTTGAGATACTAGCCGTTCCATTTCTATGAAAAGTGACTTTATAGTTAGGGTTTGTATTTCCAGACTGGCACTTTCTATTATTGAATTTTTTTCTTCATCTGTAAGTTCTTTGACAGGTTTTGACAATGTGTTCTGAACTTTTTGTTTGTGGTGTCAAATCTACCGTTTCAACTTCTTCGGTCATTTCATCTCAGTAAAAAATTTTAGTTTGGTTGTTTTCAACTGGTTGTTGTTGTTTTTTAAGTCGGTCTAAAACTTCCTGAGGTATAGGAAGAACTGACAAACACGTGGTGGTGTAACTGCTGGAAGCCGACAAATCCATCTTGAGCCCATTTGTCTCAATGCTGTATTGTTCATTTCATCTCAGTTAAAAAAATTTACATTCCCCACGTTTGAGGCGGTTGCGGGTTGGTTGTTGTTTACCACTGTTGTGCATGGTTATATCCTCTGTTAAAGAATCTTTCACCTTGGTCCATATAGTGCCCTGCTTGGTTATAGTAGTCATTTGCTTTGTTATAGTAGTTTCCTGCTTGTCTTCCTACATTGTCCATCCATCCTTGAACTTTTCCTCTTGTTTCAGGATTTGGAATAAGATTTGCTGCATCTCGTGCTACCTCCCAACCTTTCTGTACAGTTTGTATAATAGGCTGTGCTTTCTCTTTCAGTATACCTAATGTACTCAAAATCTTCCTTCCAATTCCAAATGCACCTCTGGCTAGTGTTCCCACTGCGGGCAAAAATCTGGATGCAACTCCTGCTAATGCGCCAAATAAACCCATTTCTTATAGGATAAAAATGACGAATCCAAACAAGGACCCGTATGTTTCTAAAGCAACAAAGAAAGCACTCATGGTAAAAATCTTTAGTTCAACACCAAATGCTTGGTTTATGGATATCTTGGAAAACATTCCGAGGTATAGAGAAGATGGACCACCATACTGGCTAATATTTGTCGGTCAAAACACAAGATACTGTGAAGCCAACCATTACAGTCCAAAAATATTTTAGATGTGAAAACTGCTTTGACAATCTTCGTTGACAAATACCATCCAACAAAACTGACATCTGACTGTGAACGTTCTTTCAAATCAGACGATATTAAAAAACTATCTGCGTTCAAAAAATGTAAACCAATATTTCATTGTCGACCAAAACCATTCTGCTCTTGGTGTCATTGACAGTTGTATAAAAATCTTAAGAGACTTAAACCAACCACAAGGTGGTGAGGTAGATGAAATGTCATATGACGACAAGTATAGACATTTCTCCATGGCAAAGATGAGACAAGTTTTAAATATTTACAATACCCGTAAACAAAAAGGTTTGGGAAACCACTCCCCCGAAGAAATGAAAAAACAACCCTGACTTAGAGAAAGACTATATATTTAATAGTTTAGTCAAAAGAGACAAACAAGAAAGAATGCCAGGCTTCAAACTTAAGAAAGGTGACAAAGTAAAAATAGAAATACCTAAACGCGACCCATATGAAAATACTATTGACTATGACAACAATGGGAACTCGACAGGTACTCGCATTCGTGTTCGTAAAAATAGAAGAAAGTATACAAGAGAATATTATGAAGTTTAGGCAAACATGGCAAAATGTACACACTGCAAGCAGAAGATAAAACTACTATTGTCAGACCTCGTTTCAAACTTGTCAAAGTTCAAGGTGGTATACTTTCAAAGACAGTTCCTAACAAATATAAGACAACTCCTGACGAATATGCTAAAGAAGTTGAAAATGACGACTAAGCAATTCTATACCATGCGTAAACTGTCATGTAAGGTGGCATGTAGTCTTTACTTTTTGTCCCGTTGTTTGTGTATATCCTGTAACGCGATGTGTATGGTTTCCATCTCCCTGAGTGTCACTCCAGTAACAATTTATAGCAAACTGAACGTCGTCTTTAACATCATATCCTTTACCTTTTTTCAAGGCGTGCCAATCCCAAAATTTATGCTTATGCCAACCTGCTTGAGATGTACTTAAATCTATGTAGTGACTGTGCGCAGGTAAGTTTTCACCTGAAATCGTTTTACTTCCACCTGTTTCCTTTGAAGAGTTTGCACAATACAAAAACCTGTCGACTATTTGAGTCCAAGTTCCAAAACCAAGTACTACTTCTGGTCTGGTAGAGTTCATTGACGTATAAATAGAACCTATAGGATATACTGTTTGAAGTATTTCTGTCTTTAATGTTTGAAGCTCTGTTTTGTCAGCTTTTTTATCATATAAATCTTGAGCAGTGAATTTAACTTTTTTTTCATCCTCCATGACATAGACATTTCTACATCTAATGTCTTTATCCGATGTTAAACCTTCTGGAAAGTTAGGAGGTTTAAAATATAATCCACCCCCACCAGTTTCTTCAATCGTTCCTAAAATACTTTCTATACCAACAGTTGAGAAGAAGTTATGTGTATGTCCAACGTCACTTTTCCTGTTTAAGGTTTCTTGTAAGTTTGTAATATTTGCAATGGTATGTGTATGGTTCTTGTCGGCTTTAAGGTCTAAACACCCTGAAACCCATCCTGTATCAGCTTTAAATTTAAAAGTCTTTGATGTCCGTTCATTATACCATTCAACCCTTTCTTTAATTTCATTGTCTTTTTCATCCACATATTCCTTATCTGCCTTCTTCACTAACGCACTAGCCACACATTCTAACTCATCGTCAACATATGTTTTATCTGCTTTCTTTTCAACATCCTCTTTTGTTGCATATGTTGCATCTGCTCTGTCATGTTCTTCTTGAACTTTTTCAATGACATACTCTTTGTCAGCTTTGTTGTCAATATCTGCTTTCAAAAGAAGTTCATCTATAGGTTTCTCGTTTAAAGTTCCTTTTGTTGGATTTATACAGACAGTATGGTTCCTATTGTCTTGAAACAGAAACTCATCTGTCATTGGGTTCATTGTCAGTTTTAAGTTTCCTTCTTTCAATGACTCAGATATCTTAGAATAGTTTGAAAAGTTTGTTGTGTTCTTATTTAGAGCTTGTATAATGAGTTGTCGGTTGTGTTGTATTTCTCTCATAGACGCTGTTTCATTTGACATTTTTATTCTAGATAAAATATGCTTTCAATAGAAAAAGAAAATTCTAGAGTTGCTACAACTAAACCATTAGATGAACTTTTTACTAATGTCGGTCAAAAGTTTGAGACAGAGACCGTAAAGCATGAAGGCTATCGTTTTGACTACCCATTGAGATGGCTAAGAGACCCATCCGTCACAAAAGCTGTTGGCTTTCGTAGAATGAAGTTCATTTCAGAAGCCATACATGGTTTCCCATTTACGGTCGGTTTTACCGTTCGATACTATAACAAAGAAAAACGTACGCATGAGAAATTTGAACAGGGAAAACTTTTACAAGTGAATTTGCTTGTAAACTTAGAAACAACTCTTCAAGCTTTTCAAGAAAAAATAAACGAAATCTATCTCGAATATGCAAACCAGTATAACATTGACGAAGGAGAATACCATCTCGATATTATATATGACAGGAAAAATGCAACTGTTAAAATCAATAAAATAGAAGACCTTGGAGAAAACGTTTATATTTCTACAAAATATAACAACTTGGCATGGTATAGGTTTTTGAGGATGTTAAATCAGCCTGCAGAATATCCAGTACACCCGGACTTTTATGAAGTCGAAAACCCTAATGGAACATATGAAAATGTTTTCGACCCAGATGCTATTATAGTTCATGCTTCATTTTCTGGTGCGCAAAACTCTTTCTTATGTCTGATGAATGACTTTTACGAAAAACCTACAAAGCTATATGAACCACCAAGTGGAAGTATTTCAGACTTTCAAGTATGGTTTACTACAGATGGAAGAAAGAGAATAATTCCATTATACCATGCGTTTTACTTAGAACTTAGTTTCATATACAACTACTATCGAACGGTAAAAATATAATTTTTTAATACGGTTGAGGTGTTGGATTTGGTTGCCAACTAGACTGTGGTGCAGGTTCAGGCTGTTGTATAACAGGAGCTTGTTCTTCTGGTTCAGGGTCTTTAGGTATAATACCAACGAACTGACCTACTCTTTTACCAATATTTTTGACTCCGTTCCAAATTCCTCTTCCGACAGATTTTATTCCATTCCATATACCTCTTCCAACATTTCGAAAGAAGTTTCCTATTCTTCCAAAGAAACCCATTTTACTATATGTAAAAATCTAATGTCCGCCTAGTCTTTTGCGTTTCCTGTTGAGTTCCATTGCATTCTTTAACTGGAGCTCATACATTCTATTTCTCCTCTGGTAGAAAACATACTCTGGGTCAACTCCTGTGTTCGCGTCATCTGCATAAAGTTGTTTATATCCCACTTCAGGGTTTGTATAAAACTCTTTCCATCTCATATTTGCATACCATGGTGGCAAACCTAACGCAGCGTCATTTGACATGGCAGTTTGCATTTGTACATCTGTTGGCACTTGACCATAGTTTGCCATTGCAGTTTGTATTCTAACTTCATTTGGAATATTCTCTGGGTTTGGTTGTCCAGGTTGCTGTGCATTCGCTAAGTTCTGTGCGTCCATTTAATATTAGATAAAAATATCTCTTACGAGTACATATACTGAACATTTGCAGGCATTGGTTCATCTTCATATTCTCTATATCTTTCTGCCACGTCAAATAAGTAAATGACACAATGGAAAAAACCTAAAACAAGTAGTCCTATTTCAAACCACATTTACTTACTAGTAAAATTTCTTTGTTATGACACTTTCTCCAGTTTATAGGACCTCTCTCATATTCTATCTTATCGTATCTAAACTCATAGTCATGTATGTCCTCTAACCATCTCATGACACTTTCCAAACCACTTTTATCGGATGTAAAGTAAAAGCATGGATGGTTATGTAAAACGTCTAAAGTTTCTAAAGAGTCTCTCAAAGTCCAGTCTACTTGGTATTGAAAATCCCATGTGTTATAGAACGGCGGGTCCACTATAAAGAAAACATTTTCCTTGTCTTTATATTTTTCATACAACTCTGTCCAATAACATCTCACAAACTCTATACCCTCAATATATTTTTCTATGTTCTCTTTGAAAACATTTGTATAGTTAAGATATAAAACTTTTGACATAAGTGTTTCAATGTCATGAACTCTTATAGCACCACTATATAATAGTCTAGCAGATATACTATCCCAGTCAATATACTCTGCCTTTTTCAAAACCTCTCTGACAGTATTTTTCTTATCTAATGGTATACGTTCCATCTTACCTATAGGTATCTTTTCTTTTAACTCTTTCAATATATTGTTTGTGTCTGGTATATGTTTGAGACGGTCCATATAGTTGTCGAAGTCATTGCATATAATCTTTGAGTCTGGGAATATTATATGGCACAAATGGGATATATAGAAACTTCCACCGAACAAATCTACAAATGTTAGACCATTCGGTAGTTTCTTAAGTTCTCTCAATAGAATATCTTTACATCTACTCTTATTTCCAAAGAAGGGTAACGGTGGTTTTGTAAAATTCATTTATATATAATAATAAAAATGTTTTTACCCGAAAAGTGACAGAAAAGTGACAAAGCATGAAAACATATATAATTTGTGAAAAGCTCCTGGAAGACCCGTATATAAGAACTTCAGATGGAACACATACTTTTTCAGTAAGGACATATGAGGTGAGATGTCACCTGTTTTCTCACCTCATTTCTCACCCGTTGAATTTTCATGAATTTCTTCGTAAAGACTTTGTTAAGACTTCTTCGTAAAGACTTTGTTAAGACTTCTTCGTAAAGACTTTGTCAAGACTTCTTCGTAAAGACTTTGTTAAGATTTCTTCGTAAATGACCCAAAAATATATTTTAGGTGAAGAGGTGAGATTTCACCTCTTTTTTCACCTCATTTCTCACCTCTTGAATTTTCATGAATTTCTTCGTAAAGACTTTGTTAAGACTTCTTCATCTAATTTCTCATGAACTTTCTTGTCTATGTTTTGTTGAGATTTCTTCGTAAAGACTTTGTCAAGATTTCATCGTAAAGACTTTGTTGAGATTTCTTCGTAAATGACCCTAGTAGTATATTTTTGGTGTAAATTTCATGAAAATTCAAGAGGGTGAAAAATTAGGTGAAAAAACAGGTGAAATCTCACCTCTTCACCTAAAATATATTTTTGTCTGATTTTACGAAGAAGTCTTAACAAAGTCTTTACGAAGAAGTCTTAACAAAGTCTTTACGAAGAAGTCTTGACAAAACATTTACGAAGAAGTCTTAACAAAGTCTTTACGAAGAAGTCTTAACAAAGTCTTTACGAAGAAATTCATGAAAATTCAAGAGGTGAAAAATGAGGTGAAAAAACAGGTGAAATCTCACCTCTTCACCTAAAATATATTTTTATTGAATTCTGTATAATATTCTGAGTAATATGACAGATGTTTATATAACACTTTCTCCGGTTTATAGGACCTCTCTCATATTCTATCTTGTCATATCAAAACTCATAGTCATGTTTGTCCTCTAAGACTTCATTTATACTAAACATCTTCAGGGCTAGAAGGCACGAAGTGCCTGGAAGCCCCACTCCCTTTTTTTTTTTTTTTAATGCTTAATAAATAAGATAATAAAATAAATTTATACGTAATTACTTTCATTTAATATGCTTTATGCTGTATAATATTGATTAAGAGGCATTAAAAGGTTCCATAATCTGCTTTTATATGCAAGATTTTTGATAAAAATTTTAAATTTTGAAAAATGATGAGAAAAGGAAAAAAAAGGTAAATGAGAGCAAGAGGAGGGAAAAAAAGAAAAAGAAAAGGAAGGGAAGGGAAACATAAAAGAAAGAAGGACATATAAAAATTTAGATGCGCATTCTTAATGCCGAGGCGGCTTGCCGCCGAGGCGCGATTTTTTTAGGCCTCTACGGTAACCCGGCAATGTTTTTTTAAATCTTGTACAGCCCTACTTTTTACTAATTCAATCAGCTCTTTTATACACTTTTTTAATTTCCAAGAAATCTGTGGATAAAAGCACGTAAATTTGACGATAAATATTTTGTGTACGTTAAGAAATTTAATTTGAATGCTCTTGGGAGACTTAGTCAACCAAGGGAAACCAGGACTTCTTCCACGAGGCAAATCACTTTTTAACCTTGGCGATATCAAGCCACAAGATCCTTCACCAACAATTCAGCCAAAAAAGGAACCAACAACAGTTGCAGATTTAGATCTTCCTCCCCTCTTCGATGATGAGGACGATTTTCTGAAAAATTTATCAAATGAAGAGAAGCCTGCCCCTGAACCTCAAGAAAATACAGAAATTCAAAGGCCTCTAGAAAATGTTTCAAGAATTCCACCACGATTATTATTATCTTCAAATATTCGACCAAGTGCTTCACATAACTCTATTTTAAGTCCAGATTTTACAGCGTCATTATCACAAAATTCAAATAATTCTCAAAATGACCAAATTGACGACATTTTTTCAACTCCAATTCCTTCTCCAGATACGATATCAGCACCAGAAAAGCAAGAAGAATATATCCCTCCAAGATTCGAAACTAAAGTTGTTCCAGACCAACCTATTCCACCAAGATTTGAAAGAAAACTAATTCAAGAGGAACCACAAACAATACAAAACTCTCAAATTATTGAACAACCACCTCTTGACATCCAAAATAAGCCATCCGTTGTTAAAGAACAACCTAAAATACCTATAAATGATCCAATTACTCGTTTTGAGTGCAATCTAACCAAATCTTTGGAAAGATCTCTCAATAATGCTAAAAGAAGTATCATTCGTGATACAACAACGTACATCAGATATACAGATTCTGTTGAACAAAATGTATTTGATAATTTTATTAACGACCTTGTTCATGAAATCAATGATTTTGTTCCTTCAAAGGAAGCGCAACATCCAGATGTTAAAAATTTACCACCAAAACTCGCTAATTTACTTGAAGAAGGCTTGAAACCAATTCGAGATAATTTAGATGAGAATAAGAAGAAGACAATTCAGATCAGAAACAAGCAAAAACAAGATTACCAAGATATATGCAAATCATTAGATATCTTAAATAAAACAATTTCTGAAATTACATCTTCAACATTAAATGAATTAGATAAAGCGCGTCTTAATATCCAAAGAGAAACAGATAATCACATCAATATGGCCAGAACACTAGAAAGACAGCAAAGATCATTGAAATTAAGGGCTTCTGATTATGAAAATCGTCTTCAACAACAAACTATTGAACTAGAATCAATAGAAAGGCTTCTTAAACAGACAGAAGCAGCCGAAAAGGAACTTTCAGAGACAAATAAGAATAATCGCGAAGCAATTAAAATGAAAATACAAAATAAGATGGATAAACTCTTTGAAATCATTGACAATTCAGAAGAGGATGACACTCTTAATGCACAGGTAAATGACTTATCCAGAAAGACAGATGATATGTGCGAAAATATCAGAGAAGACTTAAACCAAACTTTTATGTTGAATTATGAAATTCAAAACGCATTTAGGCGAGCATTGTATGCTAGCGAAATGCAGTATGAACGTAGTATGAATGCCTCAGATATGGCTCAGTCCATGATTTCAGCTGCAGAAAGAATTCAAGAGAAGAGAAGAATAAGACAACTTCCAGTCAATAAAGGTGCAGTTGAAAGATTCCATTTCATGGTGGAAAATGAACCAATCGAGAATTCATATTTATAAAATATTTGTTTGTATAATTAGAATAGTAAGAGAATAAAAATACGTATTTATTGACGGAAACTTTTAAATAATGATGGTTTCTTGAATGAAAGATTTGATTGATAAAATCTGGATATTCATCTTTCTGCGAACTTTCAAATAAAGTGCTGCCTATTTGATATTCGAATTTAGATGTTATTAACAAACCATGGATAGTCATACCATTAAAGATTTTGATTTCAAGAAAAATTTTACTTATTTTCAAGATTACAGAAGTTTGGCCATTTCTTTATAATTAAAACATGCTGCATAATGAAGAGTGGTTTTGTTGCTTCTACCTTTTATATTAACATTTACATCACGTGAAATAAGAAGCTCAACTATTTCTTTATTATTATTTTTGTTGCAATACTAAGAGGAGTTGGCTGATATTTAGCTTTTGCATTGACATTTGCACCAAGTGAAAGGAAATATTTGCAAAGGGATGGAATATCAAACATCACTGAGTAACCAAAGCATATGTCAATTTTATTGGTTTGATCGAAATCAATTAAAAATGATTCAAGATTATTATATTTTGTGCGATTAAATAAATTAATCCCTATATTGTATTCATTTTTTAAGAATGTAACAAAATCAATGTTGGGCGGGCTATCTTTGAATCAAGCAATTTTACTTTGATAATTTGTGTTAAGAAATCCAAGCAAATACAGCGATTTAATTCTTCGTTGCCCACCCTATATAACAACAAGTGAACATTGTTTAAAAACGGTCATTATGATAGATTTGCTTTCATTTGGTGTAAGTATGCTAGTTATATATCTTAATGCTATAGAAAATTCCCTTCTATGTTCTTTAGATAATGAGATTGATGCTCTTATAAGTTATCTAAAAATTTGAAATTTTGCGATGGAATGCACATGGTTTCATATATTCAGGTTCATCAAACCTTGAATAAATCCACACATTCATGTCTATAAATCACAACAAAGTTAACTCTTTCAAAAAGATCTTTAAATTTGATTCAACTATATTTATTCATGCATGCACGACTATATTTATGGGATATTACTAGATCCACATGTAACAATTTAGGATGATCATGATGCGTAAATCGCTGTCCATAATCTGCAATTGGATCATTCAAAATAATTCGAAGTAATTTGATGTTTTTATTGACACTTTTTTTTCAATGAGTGAAAATCAACCTCCTTCTTATGCAGCTACAATTGATTTAGATAATCCAAATATTCAACAAAGCCTTAATGACACATTTATGAAGAATATGCGTCACATTTTATGCGATGGACCTCTTATGGCACAAGAATCTTTGATTCAAATTGCATCAGTTCTCTCTAAACATCGAGATCCATTTGTACTGAAATGCATGCTTGCCTTTCTTGACAGAACTCAGAACAATTTCAGACCGCTTAAGAAACCAATGAAATTTTTCCCACTTTTAACAAATCAACTCAGCACAGATAACGAGATTATTCACTCATTTATTTTCCAAGCAGTCAAAATTTTTGCAAATTCTATATCCCCTGAGCTTCCAGTTTTAAATCAAATTATTCGCGGCTGTAAATCCGACAATCTCGAAAAACAAATGTCAGCAAAGCGATGTGCAATGGAATTATGCAAGAACTACGACTATTTCTGCTTCCAAATCATAAAAGAACTCAAAATGCCTTATGTAATTGACATAATTCCATATTTAACGCGTTCTTATCCAGTTATGCATGCTTCTGTAAAGCTCATTAATACTCACATGTACTCAAATTATCCATATCTTATTGATTTAATCGATCATACGATTCAATACATCATAAAGGCCGGTCATTTTCCATTAAGCACGTTTTACTTACTTATACAAATCCTCAACGAGCAGAAAGAGGATGAATCATTTATTCATCTCATTTTGAAGAAAATTTGTCCAACAGTTAAGTTCTTTGTTCCCCAGCAGAAGGAAGCCATGCTAGAGTTCTGCAAGGAAATGATATCCCATTACCACGTCATTTCTCCTTATTTGAAAATCATTTCTCTAATGAACATCACAGATCCATTTCTACAGACCATTGATGCGGACAGCTTGAGCACATTGATATCCCTGATATATGTGCTGCCGAGAACTGAAGAATGGGGCGCAAAAATCATGGATAAAGTTCAACAATTCAAAAATGAGCTGAAAATACCAAAATTCTTTACTAATACGATGAGGGCTCTCAATCAGTATCAAAAAGTCTTATCGTATGACTGCCATTCGCAGATCAGCAACATCTTTTTGGAGCTTGTAATGATTTCATCAGCTCATCAGGACGCAATCGGTGAATTTATCAACGATGTGTCAATACAATGCGCATCAGCATATATAGAACTATCAGATGCCGTGCAAACTGCAACAGAAAAGTTAAAACTCGGAATGGCCAAAATTTCGTTTTCATTGGAAACAGATCCGAACGCTAATTTCATACCTTCTGATCCAGGACAACTCGGAATCGTGGCTTTCCAGATCGGACAATACCAACAAGCCTCTCATTATTTCAATAATCGAAGAGGAAACGGGTTTTACGATAGTTTGAAGCTTTTTACAGATGGAGAGCTCTCATTCTTGGCAGGAGACTACTCCGCGGCCGCTCTACTGTATGGCCAAGCCGAATCTGCATTTAGAATCGCAGGAGAGATGTATTCCATGCACTCAATTCTCTCAAAAATCAGATTCTTGCAGTCTTCGCTTTGTCTACAGCTCTCCTTCTTCAAAATGGTCCCAAATGGAGCTGATATTGTTCAGTGCTTAGACGGGTTCACTGAGCTCATGAACCTTACAGAAATATTCCCTTCGTACTCAATTCTCATTTCCCCGCAGTTTTGTTTGGCCAGCTCAGAATGTGCTCAAAATATTTCTCATATTTCTTCAGAGATCAGAGAAATCTTACAAGAGCCAAACGTTGACGCCCTATTTGACATCATTTCGAAGTTCAGACCTGTTCCACCAGCGTTTTTCAGACAAGATTTCCCAATTTCAGTTACTGGACTGAGACTTCTTAACACGGAAACGCATGTTCCTAAGGTCGGAGACTTAATGGTCGGAATCGACGTAGATGGAACTATAGTTAACGAAGATTACAAAGATGCAGAGTTGTTGGTCCAAGTTTCTCATGGAAACCGCTACGATTACTCTACGCCAACTGTTATTCCATCTTCTGGAAGGTTTTATGTCCACGAAGGCATATCTTTGTTCAGAAAGCCAGAATGTGACAGATACGAGATGGATATTGATGTTTGGGTGGAAGCAAAACTTAAGTCTTCTAGTATATCTTATATTATTACACGCACAAAACTCAAATTGCCGATTGTTGAAGATAATTAGTTTTGAATTTAATTTGTTTGGATTTTCCATTCTATAAATAAATATTAATTTTGTTTTTTATAAATTAAATTAATCTTTTGTCTTTAATTGTTTTGTCACTTTTTAGATCAACCACATTTGACGATATCTCTTAAATTTTTTCATAAAACACTGAGGTAAAGTACATTGAAATGGATTTCGCTAAAATTAATTTTGAACAGATTTTAGATTTTGACAAATTCAAATTTCATGATTTCTTTTCTTCTTTTTGGGCTTTCGAAACAAGCTACATATCAAGAATATGTCGAATTCTGCAACCGCATTACTAATTCGACTCCTATTTCTCCAAAATTATCAAAATATATTAAAATCAATTGCCAAAAAGACCAATTTTATGTAATAAATGCTTCCAAACCAAAAATTATTGAGATGAATGCGGAGAAAGCGTGCATAATTAATATTAACGGTGATAAAAATTGAATTTATTCACATGGAAGTGGAATATTTAATATTGTAGGTAATTCGAACATAATTAAGAATGATGTATTTCCAGATTCAACTACTGGCCAGGCAGTATTTACAATAACCGGTTTTGGAAATTATTTGGAAAATAAATATCGCGGAGCATTCTCATAAACTACATTCATTACTGGAATTATTGAAGATCCATTCTTTGTTACTAGAGAGTATGAAAGGTCAGAAGACAGCCAGTCCTTTGAATTTTTTACCATTTCACAAGAAGGCAGTAAATATATTACTGAGGCTTCAGTTTCTAGCTTTGGTTCTATTAATATTTCTGATATGCAGAATCAGACATATGGGCAAATATTTATTCATAACTTCGATAGCTCTGGTACGTATCATACCGATAATATATATTCAATTGTTTCAGTGATTATTTCAGGTATAGCAACTTCAGTATTACTAGTTGTTGCTTTCCTTTATTCTTGCAAAAAGAAGCTAGAATAAAAAAATTGTTTGATAAACTTTTTTTAGATGTAAACATTTACTTAGTAATAAGGTTTCCTTCCTTTTGTGGTAATAAATAAGTTATTATGGCATTAAGACTAACACTTCCTATTATGATTTCCATGTGATACAAAAATGAGTGAAGTTCAAGTAAATAAATGTTCAATGTTCATTAATTTTGTGAGGTTTTCAACTCACGTCTTTCATGAAGATGAATATTTTTTAATTTTTTGTAAATATATTCATAATTTACATTAGTCCATATATGTGCATATAGATGTTATAGGAAACTCCCTCTTAAGCTCTTCAGATAACAAGTTAGAAGCACCTAAGCTTTGCAATTTTCAACTAAATTTCATAGAGAGAGACAAAAATTCCTAATGATCCATCCGAACTGCTCAGCCTATTTGCTTTTTCTCAAATTTTCTATAAATTCAACAATAAAAAATGTCAGTAAAGAAAAAATTAGAAAGTGTCTCGCCTGTATAAAAGGTGACACTTCAATCAATTGAGGTGATGTGATGTTTATGTGACCAACCATATATTATCATACACCTAATAAAAATCGCAAAATTGCAAGAATTAATTTGTAAACTTTACATCAATCTTGTAAACTTCTGATTGAAATTCTAATTTTTCAAATTAGGAATGAGTTCAAATCAGCCTAGGAAAGATCAAGGCCAGAAGCGCGATAACCAAAAGAACGATCGCCGTAATCAAGGCAGAAATGGCAAACCACGTCGTAACACTGACCCACCAAAACCAACAATTGAAAAAAGAAGCGAAAATTCTATTGTCCTTTCTACAAAGGAAGGATCAATTCAAATCCAACCTGCAAAAGCAGCAGAGCAGCAACCACATCTTGCTAATGTTCAAATCACAAAGCCAGAGCATCCAAAGATCGAGCTTACACTTTCACCAGAAGCAGCCAAGCTCTCGCAACAACGTCGTGCAGCACATACATATTCTATTGAAGAGATCAAAGCTCGCAGACACAACAACGAACTTACAAATCCAGATGAGCTCATGAATGTCTTCCAGTTCCATGCAGAACTCCAACTCTACAAGCGTTTCATGAACAACGCAAGCTCTCGCCGTCGTTCTCAAGTTCAACAAGCCGATGCTCCTGTTTATCAGCACCGTATCAACAACATCTTGCTTCAATTCAACGTTAATACCTTCCAGACCGTTTTCAACGAGCTCTGCTCTCTCGGTATCAACAGCGATGTCTTCGTTCTCTCATTTGTTAACGTCGTATTCAAACATGCAGTTCTTAATCCACCTCTTGCAGCTCTTTTCTCTCTCTTAGCCCACCACATGATCTACGTTATGAAGGGAACATCGTACGCCGACAAAATGCGCAACATGTTCCTCGAAAGATGCAATGAGTCCTTTGTCGTTCCAAAGGAGGACACAGACAAGTCCACAATGATCCTTCTCTACGGTATCGTCACATTCGCTGGTCACATGATCCGTGATGAAGTTGTCAAATCCGAATTACTCGGCCAGTGGTCATCCTCCCTCCTCAAGAGTGGCATCAACGTCTGCCTCAGACTCCTCATCGACTTACTTCTCGCTGGAGGAGCCTCCGTCATCAAAGAACAAGAGACAATCATCAAACAATTGGACGAAAAGATGAAAGGCGTTACAGACCAGAGCCTCAAGGACTCATACGCCAAGCTCCTCGACCTCGTCAAGGTCACAGAGTCCGCAAAGGTCACAATGCAGAAGGAACTCAAGGATCCAAACATGAAACACTCACCATCCGTTGATACATCACTCAACGGTGAATACAAGAAACTCTTCAAGCGCTCAGATTCAATCCCTGTCGATTTGGACTACTTCCAAGATGATATGGAAGAAAAGGACAACATCGACGGAGCAGTCGAGACATTCTTCTTATCTACAAACATCGCTAACTTTATTACTATGTTCAACGAACTCGGATTCAAGAACGACCTCGAATCTGCCAAGGAACTCCTCAGAGCCATCGGAAGACAGACAGAGGCCAACCAGTTGGTCGTAGCAGAGCTCGCTGCCTCTTTGATCCAGAAGAACTACTTCGAACAAGAAATGATCAAATCCGCCATGACAGAGTTGGCAGCAGAAGGAAAGGATGACGAGAAGATGGGTGTTTGCTTGGCCCACATCTTTGCTTTACTTGTCAAGGAACAGTTCGTTTCATTTGATGATTTCGTCCAGATCTTCCACGAAATGTCCAATATCTACAAGGTTGTCATCCCAAGATTCTTGTTCTCTATTTCTGAGATCAGAGGTGACATCGCAACAGATATTGCTGAATCAGAGTTCTGGTCACAGCTCAAATTCGTTGAAGATGCTGAAGATAACTTGGATAGAGCGGATATCCTCAATCTCTGGGAAGTTACAGAGTTCTTCCCTCAGTACGACGCGTTCGAGAGAATCGCAAAGGCAAAGAATGGAGAAGAGGCTGCAAAAATTGTTCAGGACTTCGCAGAGAAAGTTCCAGACGTGAACCAGTACATCCACTTGGTCATCGAAGGATTGACTCAGCTCCCTCCACAGGAAGGAAAGAACGCCGCAGCAAAACTGAAGGGATACTTCGGAAAGAACAAGAATGCTGTAGATCAGGCAGTTGCATCAATCGGAGACAAGGCTAAGGCACTCTTCTGAGATTTTTTTTAAAACTAAAATCTAATTTAAACTAATATATTTTATTTATTTTTTCATGTCATCCGAATATGTCTTATTTTAATAACAATAAGTACAACACACATATTAGATACTATATAACGTTTTTATAATAACATTTTACCAAATATAAATACTAACTTAAGAAAGCAGAACATAAAGTTAGGGAGATCAAAAAATTGAGAAATGTTAGAAAGTGGCAAGGGCATTCAATCACGCTAGTCAAATCACACAATATTAGGTGAATTTTGAATATAACATTGCAAGCTTTGAGATCAAAGTTGTCCTACATTATGTGTTGCCCTCAATCCTAAATGCTTCGGATTCAGTACATCATTCTAGTGAGATGAGACTTCCATTCAACTTTATATTCAGATGAGAATCTTTTAGTACAACATTTTTGAAGACTGAATGACTAATCAATAACCTTCCCTGTTCATGACACTCTTTTTGACATACCTGTAAATTTCTATACACATCTGTTACCTTCACATTATATATGATCGCTCCATATGATTATTATATAATTTCTCTGAATTTTTATATTTGTGATTCTTTGATGATTCTATCAATCTTAAATTGATCGACCATAATTTATTCTATATCGACATTTAATCCATTTTCATTCATTCTATATATGAATTGCCCAAAATCATCTGAATCTCAAAAATTATATCTTCAATTTCTATCCGTACCATGAACAAGCTCATACTACACACCATCTCAATTAATTAGAATTTTACGTGAATTTTGTTCAGAGCTAGAACAACTCTAGGCTCGAGTTGTTTGTAAATCTCTCAAAATTTATATGACAACGATTATTTTTTCTAAATGATTTTTGACTTCTAAAAATGCCATTCTTAATATTTATATGTCAAGTTCAGTACAGCTTACAAATGAAAGTGAGTATGATTTTAGCAACCTCAAGCCAATCGAAGTATTTAAATACCCTAGTCAAGCCTCAAAAATTATTTGGGAGGCTAATTCCAATAATATTTCAGAATCATCATTGCAAATTATAGAATTCATTAAAACTAACAAAATATCAATCCAAATGGCAATTTATTTGATTGATAACTTTTCTGCAATTCGAGATAAAGATATTAAATTATTTACAAAACTTTATCAAAAGTTATCAAATGAATTTTCATACTTCATCAAGCCAAAAAATGAGAAATTGGCAGCGCTATTACATTATAAAGGATTCCCATTAGAAAAATTCGAACCTAAAATGAAAGTAGGAGAAATTCTTAATTTATATTCCACAAAGTCTCCATTATATTATATTTCTTGGGATAAAATTGACGATCTTAAATCTAAATTCCCAAATCTTGATATTAATAAGAAAGTATATATTGAAATCAAGAGAAAAGATGAAGAAATTACTCTACTTGATTATTCAATTAAATATGGATCAGAATTATGTTTTATTTACTTGAAAAATTTAGGAGCTAAATACACTGATAACTCCGAAAAATATGCTGTTCAAGGTGGAAATATAAACATTTTCATGCAAATGATAGAAGATGGCAAATCATTTGATAACATGATTAAAACAGCATTGGATTATCATAATTTTGAAATTGCAGATTACCTTAAATCAAATTTAGGACAAACATTTGATTCAATTGCAGAAAGTATGTATTTCGGAAATTATGATGTTGCATCTTATTTACTTACTAATAGAAAAGGTATCAACAAACTATATGATCTCTTTCTTTTCATATTTATCATTGTTTTTTTATTTTATCACTCTTTTCATATTTATCATTGTTTATTGAAATTCTCTTTCATATCTTATTTATTATCATTTTATGATATTTTATTTATTTTCATATTTTCCATTGTTTTATTATATTCACATTCTATTTATACTTTTTATTATTTTATCAAATTCTCTCTCTTTTCATATTCATCAATGCTATTATCAAGTTCTCTCTAAATAAATGATTGCCCTCTTAGTATTGCAATCGAAGTGAATCAAATGTCAATTGTCAAATTCTTAGTTGAAAATGGTGCTGATGTTAACAAGAAATTTATTCTTTGTCTTTTGATATTTATTATTATTTTATAGAATCCTCTTTATTTTTAGTTTTATCATTGTTTGATAAAATTCTCTTCTTTTTCATATTTATTATTACTATAGAAGGTCCTTTTTCTTATCATTTTTATCATGATTTTATAAAATTCAATATCTTTTTATATTTATCATTGTTTTAAAAGGTAACTAAACTCCTTTCGCCGATCCGATTTGCTCCATATTTAAAATATAGCTTGCATATGTAGAAGAAAAGCTAATTTTGAAGTACGCCCGAAATCCACCAACAGGATTTCGAGCTACTAAAAAGGTACTTTTAAATGTGATTTTTTTTATAAAAAATTAAATTTATTTTAAGATCAGACTAAAAACTAATTTTATGGAAAATCTATATCGACAAATTTATTACTTATTGGGTATATAGATTTTTTGATTATGGCGATTATGTCTGATATGCTTCCAATAAGCCAAAACACATTTCATACTGATTTCTATAAAAGGTATCTTTATTATAGAAGTGTAAGCTATATCTGTTTGTTTTTTTATTATAACAAATTCAAAATTCTCTTATAAGGACTAGATGAAATCTGTATTATTAAATCATTAGCTAAATGAAGGTTCAAATAGAAAGTAAATATCAATTTATATGATACTGAAACCAAATAGTTCTTTTAATAAAAGATAACACGCTGAAAATTATTGAGTATTTGCAAATCTCAAAAATCTATTGGTGAATTTGGCTCAACTTTTAAAATTATAACATCCATATCAAATCATAAAAGCAGACAAAAATTAAAGCCAAACCTATCGGCTAATTTTTTTTGGTATTTTGATTTTTGAGGTATACTTTTAAAAGTGGATTTAAAGCACTTATGAAAAAACATTAACTTCTGTCGTTATGATTATTGATTTAGACAATAATGATTTTAATCTTTGATTATCAAAACACTAAAGTCATCTTTTTAACATTTGCTTGGTAGCATTAACTCAAGTCTAAAGTACTATTTTATGTGGCACTCTTAGAATTTTTGTATTCATTGTACACGCTGAAATAGTACCATTAAAGTTATGGCGGACTTTCAAAAAATAGTTTGGTCACCTTTTTGTTTTATAGAGTTATCTTCCTCCTTATATTTATTATTGTTTTGTTACATTGTCCTTATTTTCATAATTATCATTATATTATCATATTCTAATTCTTCTAATATTTGTTATTGTTTTATGAAATTATCTTTCTTTTCATGTTTGCCTTTGTTATATGGCATTATCTTTCTTTCAATATTTACCAATGTTACATGAAGTTCTCTCAATATTAAAGATTGCCCTCTTAGTATTGCAATCAAAATGAATTCAATAAAAATTGTCAAATTCTTAGTTGAAAATGGTGCTGATGTAAACACGAATTTATTCTTTGTCTTTTGATGTTTATCAATGTTTTATGTAATTTTCTTTCTTTTAATATTTATCATTATTTTATGATGTTCTTTTTCCCTTCATATTTATCATTAATACAGATATTTCTTTATCTTTTCATATTAATTATTCTTTTATACTAACATCCCTCTTTTCATATTTGTCATTGCTATATTTCATTCCCTTCATTTTCATATTTATCATTATTTAATTACATTCTCTTTCTTTCCATATTTATCATTGCACTATGATATTCTCTTTATTCTAATATTCATCATTTTTACATGGAATTATTTAATTTTTCATATTTAACCTTGTTTTACCATATTCTCATTCTTTTGATATCTTTCACTGTTTTATTGCATTCTCTTCTTTTTCATGTTCATTATTGTTATATGGTATTATCTTTCTTTTAATATTTATCAATGATTTAGCCGGTTTTATATAAATACATATATATCATTTCTTCATTACATTCCCCTTCTTGTCATATATAACATTGTTTTACCATATTCTCATTCTTTTTCATACTCATCATTGTTTTATTTCATTCCCTTCCTTTTCATATTTATTATTGTTATATGAAATTCCCTTAATATTAATGACTGTCCACTTAGCACTGCAATCAAAGCGAATTCAATAGAAATTATCAAATTTTTGGTTGAGCATGGTTCTGATGTTAACGTGGATCTTGTTCTTTTTATTTTATTGTATATTATTATTTTATTACATTTTCTCTCTTTTGATGTGAATCCTTATTTTTATAAAATTCTCTTACCTTTTATATTTATTATTGCTTTCCAAATTTCTCGTTCTTTCCATATTTATCATTGTTTTATCACATTTTGTACTTTTTAATATCAGTAATTATTTAATTGCATTATTTTCTGTTTCATCTTTATTATTGTTTTATAACATTCTCTTACTTTTCATTTTTATCATTCTTTTAGACATTTCTCTTTCTTTTTATTTTAATAATTGTTTTATAATATTATCTTTCATTTCATATTTATCTCTATTTTATATAGTCCTCTTTCTTTTCATATTTATTTGAGCTTGTTCTCTTTCTTTTCATATGAATCTTTGTTTTATTGCATTCACTTACTTTAAATGCTTATCATTATTTCATATGGTTCTCTTTCTTTTCAAATATATCATTGTTTTATTGCATTCTATTTCTTTTAATATTTATCATTGGTATAGAGAGTTCTCTTGATATTAATGCATATCCTCTTTTAATTGCAATCGAAGCGAATTCAATAGAAATTGTCAAATTCTTAGTTGAGAATGGTGCTAATGTTAACATGATACGTATTCCCCTTTTTTCTTTTAATACTTATCATTTTTATATGAAGATCTCTCTATATTAATGATTGTCCTCTTAGTATTGCAATTCGAAAGGATTCGATAGAAATTGTTAAATTCTTGGTGGAACATGGAGCTGATGTTAACTTGGCTTTAGAAAAGCCTTATAATGTTTATCATTGCTTTAGCCAGTTCTTTTCATGTATATTGGAAAAGCCCTCTTACTGTCGCAATCCAGCATAAGATAAAAGAAATTGTCACATACTTAAAAAAGCAAGGTGCCATCAAATAATTTTTTTTTTCTAAAGTGATTCTATTTTGAAACAAGAGATGCCAATATATGCTTTATTTCAAAATAAACATTAAACATTAAAAATTGTCCAAGATTTTTCTAAGATATTTTGTAATGAAAATGAAATTAGAAAAGGTATGAGAAGTCATATAAATATTTGCAAGATTCTGTATGAGCATTATTTGAAATCACGTTATAAATTCCTAGAAACAAGTATCGAAGTTTAGAATATATTTGTAATAAACTTAAGTAAATCCAAAATGCTTTTCATAAGCGTTTTGTTATGTGAAATAAAGTTGCTAATTTATAGTAACTATTTGCCATAAGTGCAATCATGATTGATTGAAACAAGTTCAAGTGTGCAATTTGTCACTTTTTGAGTTTACCAATTTTGAAAAAAATTAATTGAATCAGCTAATTTTCATTAATTCGCGAGTATACGAAACTATTTTTAAACCTAGTGAATAAGCATATCCCAAAGCTCTTTCATCTTTACTTTTTTATTCGTGATACCTTTGATATCCATATAAAAATTGCTGAACAATCTTCTGACCTAAAAAGATTTTTTTTTCCCAAAAATTTTTTTATGACTGAATCAAAACCAATTCCAACAAATATCACAATTAAATCCGAAGGAATTGATCCATATAAGTTCATGATAGCGGATCTTAACCCTGTGATACTTGCGGAATCCATTCAAAACGATCCAGCTTTATGTTGGTTCACAAACTGCAGTATAGCGACCAAGTCCGGCGTAGTCACAACAAACTCAAATCTGAAAATCGATCTCGAGAATGATATCTTAAATGCAACACTTATTGTCAACAATTTCAGCGAACTTGACGCATTAAATCACGCACAACAATTTGCTCGTATCGTATTTTCACTAACAACTTCCAGAAATTGCAGCGATTGCAGACAATCTGTAATAGGTTGGCTTTTACAAAATTATTCAAAAGATTATAAGAATTTACCATTGCCTGGTGAGATTTCTGGCATCTATCCATCAAGATATTTGACCCCTTTGACAAAAGAGCTCATTAAAACATTCGATCTCGCTCCAAATCAACCAACCATCGCAGAACGCCTCGAAGGCATTCATTTGAAGTTCGCCTTGACAACAGCTGAAGGCAAAGAATACATAATCAATGCTTCTCAGACCGGTTTTTATGTTGAAAAAGATAAAATCTTCAAATCTTTGCATTTACTTGTTATTTCTCTTTCTCGTACGTTCAGAGATCATTACATATCAGTTTCCAAGCGTTGGTGCGAACTTTTCCCTCTTGAAAGGCACGGATTTCATAATTTTATTGATGGCCACAAGATTTACAACAATTCCAACGAAACCGATAGCGACCACAACATACTACTTAGGTTATTCGACCAAGAAGATGGCTCTATCCTTGGAAATATCGATGATATCATTGATTCTCTTCCAAATGACAATTTTCATGATGTTTACGTCGGAAAAGTTGAACAGGCATTCATCAAAAACACTATTAATGGCATTATCAACATCAAACGTGGCTTAATTCCACCAATGAACGATCTTGGATCATATTCTTACCACGATCTCTTTATTGCACCACTTTATGCACTCGCGCCATTATACGAGAACAAGGGAGGTGCAGATGCTGCTCACAGAACGTTCTCTCATAACATTGATACATATCCACTCATAAAAGCACTCAGTAATGGCTACAAAGTATCTAAAACGATGATTGTTGACTATTTTAACGAGCGTTGGGTTGTCCAATGCCTTGTTCCTGGCTTACTTTACAGAAAAGCTCAAGTTGTACAAGGATATGATATCGAAGACCACTCAATTTACAGATTTAGCGATGAATTCGATGGTTTCTTCAAAGAACTTGCTGAAAAGATCGGAGTTGCCCCTTCATCTGTAAAAAGTGCAAATGATCGCAAAATTTATACTTGTTCTGACTGCTCAGGCATCATCGGATCAGACGGAAACAAGTACATCGCAGATTTCCACGTAGCAACCCCTCGTGACTATAATTTCCCAGACCCTGTTAAGGACCACGGAAAGATTATTAAACGAGAAGCGGTTTCTCAATTTGAAGAATTCAAAACTTTACAAAAGAACGATGAAGAGCTTGTTAAGCTTGGCGGAGACAGAGAGAAAATGTACAGAGGAACAGGCGAAGAACTCAACAAGAGGAAAGCAGCGATTTTGGACAAAATTGAAAGAATTTTATTCGATGTCAACGCTTTGACTGTTGATTCCAATGCTAAAGAGGTCCCTCAGAACATAATTGAACTCGCTTCATTCTTAAAGACACATTTGATTCCACTTTTCATCGAAGATTTTGTTCAAACAAATGGTTTCGTTTCAAACGGAACTTCAATTGTTAATGAGATGCACAGGCGTGGTATTAATGCTAGGTATCTCGGTGAAGTTGCTAAACACGTCAAAAACACAATTTTTGAAAAACAGAAAATTGAAAAAGAAAAAACCGAAAAGGGAACTTCCTCTCCAAAAAGTGACACTGAAAATTCTGAGGAAACTCAGGAAATCCAGACAAATTCAGACGAAATTGACTTGTTAAAGGCATCTTTGATCATCATTGAAGCGGAGATGATCATCAGATCCATCAAATACCTTCATAGACATGAAAGTACTGATATCCAAACTTTAATTACTACAATCAACAGAATTACTAACACTGCAGGTACAGAAGAGAATGTAGCAGCTATCAGAGAAAAGATTAAGCAGATCTGCCTTGAAAAATACAATTATGAATTAAATGATTTCCCTGCCAGCGCCAAGAATCTTATTTTGAGTGGCGTATTATCTTCATTTAGTGTCAAAGTTGTACCTCGCGCATCAGTTGACAAGCTTTGCTTTGATCATGTCGTTGATGTTGAGCCATTAATCAAATTCAGCTTTTCCAAGTCAGCAGTTGCCGAAAGGATGGTAAATATTGGCACTTCTCTCTATACAGCTGGTGATTTATCATCTTCTTTGAACATTTTCCAGACAATTGCAAAAGATTCCAAAGATATCTTCGACAAAACAATGGCTACGACACTGTTTTACATTGCATTGATAAAGATGCAGACAAAAGAATACCAGGCAAGCTTCGATATGATTACAAAATCCTTAATAATCAGTGAACATTATTATGACCAGTTTGATCCAGAAATTATCATCAGATACTCCATCCTCCGTGAATTGGCATCAATGCTCGGCATGAAAACGCTCAGTTACGTTCTCGCAGTTCGAGTTTTGAGTTTGGTCGAATTATTCTATCCGTTCCATCCTTCCTGCATCAATGCTTCGTTGATTGCATCAGATCTTGCAGCACAGATCGATCCAAAGGTCAGCCAGACAATTCTACAGAAGGCAATCGAGAATTTTGACAAATTCTGTGTAAACAAGAAGAATTTGTCCTATTTACACGCGAGAATGGCCATGATTTACATAAACAGTTCGAATGTCCCTTACGCGCTGTCTGAAATAAAGATTGCGAACGAATTAGACCCAGAGAACGAGAAACACAAACAGTTACTCGTTGGGATAGAGGAATTGGCTCAGAACATGCCTCAGCAATCAAATAAGAATAATAGAAAATAAAAATTTAGATTTTTTTAAAATATAATATTTTTTTTTTCATCGATACACAAATTATGATAAATCTCTTTAAATAAAATATAACAAATTATTGAACAAAGAGTGACTTATCATCGATTTGTTTGATATTTTATTTAAACATATTTGAGAATTATTAAAGTACAGACAGATTGCTTCTGAATTACCCGCACAGTTTGCTTAGTAGTATGCTGAGGAAATAAATAGATCATAGTAAAATTTAAATTGATTTAAGAAGAAGATTTATTATCTTCTTGTAATTCTCATTTTGATTCTGATTTTCTTTTGCCAAATAAGGGTTTCGTTTTGCGAAAAAAACGTACAATACGCAATTTCGCTAAAAAAACATTTAGCTAGCAATTTCGACCTTTGACTCCACTCAAGACGTCACTTTTTTAATTTTGCGGTATCATATTTTTGGAAAATCTTTATGAATATTATATAAAAAGTCTCTTTAATATCTATATTTCATATTTTTATCGATTTTTAAAGTTTTTGCGAAAAGTATTCAATTATTTTTGCTATTTGGTCGGGTAAATGTCAGATTTGCGACATTTTCTGATATGATATTCAGATTCTACGTTGATAATAATGCTTATAGAACCCTCTTGCTATTGTGTCAAAATTGCGAAACCGATAGCAAAAATATCTCGCAATATCAAAATTGAGATATTGAGTGAATTATGCATTATAGAGATTAAAAATCTGATTTGTGAAAACATCTCATCAGTTTCTAGCTAATTCAAAAATCTTTACTATCTTATTCGATTAAAATGAAAAGGGAATAGTTTCATTATGCTTTAAATGACAGCCTTATAATATAATCATAGTTTTCGCTCAATATGCAGCATTTTTTTTCGAAATCTATGGTCAATATCCTAAATACTGATTGCTTTGCATTCATATCTCTTACATTTTCTATACCCACATCACTATTCATTGCTATTCCTATCTTTTTCATTTTTGTTTGTTTCTCATAATTTCTCAAAAAACATGATAACTTGATATTTGTAAATATCATACTTTATAACGTAAATAAGAACTTGACCTATTAAGAAAAGCAGTAATGAAAAGAAAATCTGAAATTCATAAAAATTACAAGTTTCTGATGACAATTAGCTTAATTAAACCAGGTACAAGATTATATAATTGTATTTTCTATCCAATTATCCATATAATATCTTATCCAGAAAAAATAACTTGATCAATACCAAATGATTTTTTAACTAGTAAATAAAGTATTTTCTTTACACACACATTGTATATCATAGTTTTTTTTTTTGGTTTCGCAAAACATCCAAAAACAAATATGCTATAAAAGTGACAATTTTAGCAAAACGAAACCCTTATGCCAAATCAAGTGCTGTTTTTCCATCTTTGTTTTTTTCGTTAAGGTTGACACGAATTGAAACTAAAAATTCAACAACATTAAAATGACCATTTGCAGCCGCCCAATGAAGTGATGTATCATTAGTATTTGTTTTATCATTTTTGTTACACCCATTCATTAGAAGATATTTAATGACTTCAAGATGACCTTTTAATGATGCATTAAGTATCGCATTAAATCCATCATTATCTTTTTCATTTGGATTAACTCCACATGAAATAAGATATTTGACTGTTTCAAGATGACCATTAAATGATGCTAAGTAAATACAATTTGCATTAGCATTTGTTTTAGAATTTACATCACATCCAATGTTTTGAAGATATTTAATGACTTCAAGATGACCTTCTTGTGATGCATTAAGTATCGCATTAAATCCATCATTATCTTTTTCATTTGGATTAACTCCACATGAAATAAGATATTTGACTGTTTCAAGATGACCTTGAGATGATGCTAAGTAAATACAATTTGAATTATCATTTGTTTTAGAATTTACATCACATCCAATGCTTTGTAGATATTTAATAACTTCAAGATGACCTTCTTGTGATGCAAAAAGTATTGCATTAAATCCATCAGTTTTATTTCGCCAATCCTTGTCAAAACCAATTTCAATCAAATATTTAACAATGTCAATGTGTCCATTGCTAGATGCAACCATTAAACAGTTATTTCCATACTTACTAACTACATCTTTATTACAACCACCTTCAATGAGAGATTTCGTTAATTGAAAATCACCAATTTTACATGAGTGAAGGAGTGGGGTTTGCTCGTGTTCATTTCGTTTCTCATTTAATTTGAGTGCAGATGAAAGAGATATCTTTTCTTTATAGCCTATTTCTGAAAAATTTTTTAATAAATTGTAAATTTTTTCGAAATCTTCTGATTCACGTAATTGGGAAATGTTTTTGAAATCATTGATGGATTGTGTTAATTGAAGGTTGTCATTTTCAAGTTTAGATAGCTTTAACTGAAGATTTTGAATTTCGGTTTTTGATCCTAAATCAGATGCAAATTCGGTCTTGTATTTTTCAAAGAAATCAACAAGTCCGCATGATGATTTAAGTTTAAAAACTATTTTGTAGCTTTTCAGAATATTGATTGCATCTTCAAATAAATTAACCAAAACATTGCACTTATGTAAACAACCGTATAATTCGGACGAATTGTATTTTGACTTTCCTAGAGAAAGTAGTCTCATGTAAAGTAGTAGAAGATGACGGGGTGTGTGACTTTTTTTGTAATCGTAAGAATTCTCACATAATTGAATGATTTTTGAACATACTTCCGAATAGCAGATTTTAAAAATTTATGAATAATTTATAAAAAGTTTTTATTCCTACAATTCCTATATTACCATTAATAAAAAGAATATATTTTATAATAGTTTCATTTCGAACATGTTAAAATTTATCTGCATTTCGAAAAATTTTATTATAAATGATAATATAATTTATTAAATTAATATATAACTTATGGGGATATTTAAATTCTAAATCGGTAGAAAGATTCTATTTTTGCATAGATTCCAAATATGGTGGAATTCATACAATATCGAACGATTTTGTATCATTTTTTTAACACATTAATTTTAAAATAATTTATTTTTTTATTCTTACATAAATGACCCAACAAGTAAAACCAGATAAAATAGATTATCGAATTTTAGAGGATGGTGTTCCTGTTTATATTCAAAGATTTAAAGGGAAGCAATATTATAGAATTGTTAATCCTGAATATGTGAAACATATATTTAATAAAGAAGGATGTAAAGTTTTAAATATTGAAGAGTTTGAAAATACTAAATCTATAATAAAATATGAATTTAGGAATAAAGTTTATACAGTTTCATATAATGAATGGAAAACCGATAAGATTAGAAAACATTTAGGAGATTATGGAGAAAAATCTGAATTCTTTAAATCTAGTATATACGAGAGAGTAAAAGAAATTAGAAATAATTATTTTCATGAATGAATAAAAGATTCACTACCATAATGAAATAAAAAAAATAAACTTTAAAAATTCATGTCTTACATTTATGAAAATTTATTTTTATTTTGTATGAAATGAGTGTCAAGACTAACGACGTTAAAAAATTAGGATTCACAAATGAGGAAATAAAGGATATATTAGAGGAGGCAGGTTATGAGGTTGATAAATATTATTTTAGAAATTGTCAAAAATTCGCGGAGTTTTTAAATGAGTTTGATTATGATGGAAAAATGAATAAAGATGATGTTATAAATTTCTTATATCCCGCATCTAAAAAAGAAAAACCTAAAGAACCTGATGTTTTCCCTGAATATTATGAAGAACGAATTAAAGATGATGAATACGATGAAATTGAAAGACTGGAAAAAATAAGAGATGAAATAGATGAAAAAATTAAGGAATTAAGAGAAGTTGAAAAATATAATGAAAATGAAGTAGAGGGTTTAATGAATATCCCAGCTTCAGAATCAGCAGTTCAGAAATCTCATGAAGAAAGATATAAAAATTATGTCTTAGAATCAACACAAAATTTATTAGATGGTGATATTGACGAAACACTTTCAGAAGAAGGCACAAAATTTATTCATAAACATAAGCTTCAGTTTATTGACGATGAAAAATACCCTTGTATATTACTTTCACCTCCTCTTGATTCTGAAAAATTCAAAAAAGCACTGAAAAATGTAACATATGCAACAAATACGATTAAGAAAGAAGACCATGATATTTACACAAATTATTATTTAAATAAATGTACAGGTGTTGATAAAGTTTTTGATTTGTTAGATAAAATATCAAAAGAAACAATTGGAACCTATAAAATTTTATGCGATTGTGGTTTCATTATTGAAGATACCAATAATGTTTCATATGAAAGAACAGCACCGAAGGAAGACGAAGTTGAAAGGTCTATACCATTCGTTATTAAGAACATAAAAGATATGAAAACTTATAAACATTATATTTATTCATTTATTTCAGAAAAAATGGAAGCAACCCATAAAACATCTTCTCATCATTTTATAGCTATTCATACATTCCTTTTCAAAGTTGTGAAATTAAATAAGACAGGAATTAGATTTAATGTATCAGGGTACGCATTCTTGAGTAAATTAAAATGTATTCGTCATGTCGTAGATGATAAAAATTTATGTGTTCTTAATTCATTTTATGGACTTTAAAAAAAATAAACTTTATTTTTAATTTTTATTCTTACATAAATGAACAAAAACGGAACAGCTAAAATGAATGATAATCAAATTAGAGCAGAAGGTAGAAGGTTATTTAAACGCTTCTATAACATTCCTGATGGTGTTAATCCTAAAACTCGTAGAAGTTATTTAAATGAAGCCATAGATGCATATGAAGGATTTGACATTTCATCAGAAAGTGAGAGGTTAGCAAGAATGTTAAACGTTAATATTGATTTTTATTATTGTGATCCTCAACCAGAAGACGTGGACATAAATAAGGTAGACTTTCCATTAGTGGAATCAATAATGATAGATCCAGAATTTGAAACAGTAAATATTTTATTAACACAGAGTCCATGTGGAAAACTTCACGCTGACAGAATTACAGACGTTGAAGCACTCACAGGCTATAAAGTTTGTCCATTTTGTAAAGAAGAAGTTATTCTATCCGTGATGATCCAGAAAGGAAAAACCAAAGAAGATTTTTAAAACATTGTGAGAAATGTAAAGAAAATAATGGAAGATTAATTCAAGACGTTCAATTGCAAAACACACAACAACCATATGCACCACATATCACGAAACAGAAGATATATCAATGGCTATTAGCACATAATTTGCAGGAATATTATAAACCAACAAGATATTATATTACTTTTGACTTCGAAACATTAGAGACTAAAGAAGAATTACAACTTTCTGAGTGTGCAACTTTGAACGCTTACTTAAAACCATTCATGGTATCATCAACGGTTAAATTAAACGATAAAACATATACGAGGAATTTTTGCTTAACATCAAGTGATTCGTTCATCTCTGATTGGATTGAATTTTTATTTTCAACCTGTTCATTAGTTGCTAAATCAAATATTGAACAATATGAAGAATTAATGAATACATTAAATGAAAAACAGAAGGAAGCATTTAAAGAACTTCTAGATGAGAATTCAATAAAGTGAATATCATAGGTTTTAATTCGGGAAAGTTTGATTTAAATTTAATTCTTCGTGATTTAAACACTGCAAAATGGAAAATAAAATCAATGCTGGGTTCATCTTCTCAATTTAAGCAAATCATTGTAAAGAAAACAAACGCTCCATATGAATTAAGATTTATTGACATCAGAAATTATATAGCGGGTGGGACATTAGACCAATTCACTCAAGATTTCGGAAACAATAAACACGTGTTAAATCCTTTTTCCCTTATCAATTCATCACATGGGAGAATTACGAAGAAGAATTATATAAAGTGGAACCATTCACTCAAGATTCATTTTATTCAGCATTAACTCAAGAAACTATATCAGATAGTGATTATCAAATATATCTCAATGATGCTAAAAATTTTGAGAATAGATTAGAATATTTTATTCATTATTGCAATAAAGACGTTGAAATTATGATTGACCCAATTGATAAAATTATCGAAGAAACATTTGTTTATAAAATTGACATGCTTCATAATCTTTCTTTATCATCGAATGCTTCAATGATTCGTTACGCTTTAGCATATAAAGACTTTAATCCTAATGAAAAATATCCTGAGGAAGAGATAGAATCAAGTTTTGAATTAACAAAAAAGTATTGGAAATATAAAATTGATTCATATAAGAAACAAGATGAAAAGGCGAAAAGAGATACTAAAAATAATGTTTCAACGGATGATTTTCAATACTATCACGATTTAATCCTTTCATCTAAATGCAAAATGTGTGGTAAAGCGTTTACATATGTAAATAAACCAACATTGGATAGAATCGATAATGAAAAACCACATACCAAAGAAAATTGTCAGTTAATGTGTTGTTATTGCAATGTCGTAAAATCAAATAAAGATGAAGATGTTCAACGTTTAAGAATCAATTTAAGAAATTATGCATTAAAAAATAATTTACCAATGACTTTAGATTCAGTTGAAGCTTATCACATTCTCCGTAATGGAATTACTGGTGGTTTATCAAATGTTCAACATAGAGTAAATCTTAAAGGAATCACGCACATTAATAAACTTTCATATAATCCAGAAACTAAAACTGTATCAAATGAGGACACCACCAACATTATGACTCATTTCGTTGGAGTTGACTTTAATTCATTATATCCTTCATCATTTTCATCTAATCCTCATGATTTCATTCAATATACTGACCATAAAATGTATATGCCGGGAAGATTGAATGGTGTTATCATTTGTGATACAGCAACAAAGAAAGCAAAAGCACTGGGAATAATTAAGAAGAAAAATACTTTATTCGTGGCTGAAGTAAAGGGTCACATTGATGAAAAATACATTAATGATTACATAAACTTTTTACCGATAATAAGAAACTTAGATATTATCACAGATGAAAAAACAATTGGCAGTTTTATGTATAATTACATGAAATCAAACAATTACCGTTGACCAGAAACAGAGAAAATTAACTCAGTTAGCATCAACACACAACCAATATCAACCATTTTCTTCTTATTATCTTTGGTATCTAATAGACAGATTTCATTTTATCATCGATGACATTCAATCAATTTTAACATTTACTAAAAACACTTGTTTTAATGAATTTGCGAACAAATTTATGAACGAAAGACAAAAGGCTGAATTAGAAGGAAATAAAGGAAAAAGTTTATTTTGCAAGATTTCACTTAATGGATCATATGGTTACGATGCAATGAATACACAAAATTACGCAAAGACTAAAATAATGAATGCACAGAAGGCACGCGTTGCATGTATGTCAAATAAGTTTAAAAACATAAGAGAAATAGGTGAAGATACGTATCAAGTGATGCTTAAAGATAGATTTTATAGATGTGAAACATGTTTACAAGAGGCATTCTTCACTTTAGATAATGCTAAATACTGGTATTTGGTTTTCATTTATGATTTTATGTATAAATGCATGAATGTTAATCGTTTTCATTTCATTGAAGGTGATACTGATTCATCTTATTGGGCAATCGCTGGCGACCAAATCTTCCTAACACTCAAGCATTTCAAGCAATTGTTACTGATAAACAATTTTATGATAAAAACATTTACAAATTCGCACCTTTTGATTTCTTTTGTTTTGATGAGAAATTTAAACCTAAATTAAAGAATAAAGCTGAAGAAAAAGCACATGAGAAGAAGTTATTGGGTTTAGCAATTGAGAAACAAGGTGATAACATGGTTGCTTTATGCCCCAAGTGTTATACATCATTCAACGGTTCAATTGATGGAAGTGATTTTAAAAAGATTGCACAAAAAATGAAAGGAGTTAGTTTACGACAAAATAAACAATTAACACCTAAAAATTATTTGGATATAATAAATGATAAAGTGATATTTGATGGTCAGAATATTAATTTACAACTTAAAAACGGGTCAATGACTCGCTTAACAATCGGTAAGACTGCATTAACAGGAGCACACACTAAGGCTGTATGTTGTGAAAATGGATGTTGTATGCCGTTTATTTAATGAAATGCCACAGAAGAGACAAAAGGAACCGTTGAATGATGGTTTTGATTCTTGATCAAAGAGGTGGGCACCCTTAAAACATTTATTTTATTTTTATATAAATGGATAACGTAGATTTAGAAAATTTAATTGATGATTTAGTACGTGATCAAAATTTTCTTAGTTATTATGATTTAAAAGCATATCTCCAAAAATATGATGAAAATATAACGGATGATGATATAGATTATTATTATTCATATTATGATAATGAATTTTTGAAATATCATGATGAAATAATTTCTAAAATTAAAGATAAAATTAAAAATAATGAATATACAAAGGAAAAAACTAAATCACAACTTAAACATTTGAAAGATTTCAAAAATGAAGTATTAACAGAAGAAGATATTGATGAATTATATAAATTATATAATCCTGAGCCACAAAAAACAAAGAAACAAAACGCCCGGGTCCTTCAGACCAAAAATGATGCACAAGCTTTAATTTATGATTCATTAGTTAAACCACATTCAGCCCAACTTTTAAATAAAGATCAACTTTTGGAATTCATCCTTCAACATAAACTCGAAGCGGGAAAGTATATCAAACCTTTATATACAGCATATTTAAAACAAATGAATAGAATACATCCAGAATTAATGAAGGAAGGAATGAATTCCAAAACTTCATCATCCAAAATCAAAGCGGATAAAATTAAACCACTTGCAACACCAAAACCTCCAACGACTGTACCTGCAACACCAAAACCTCCAACGACTGTACCTGCAACACCAAAACCTCCAACGACTGTACCTGCAATACCAAAACCACCTCCTCCAGTTAATCCTTCATCATTCACTTTATTATATCCATTTCAAACATTAAAGAAGCAAAAAGATTTTAAAAAGGGTTTCAAGATATTAAATAAACCAATTGACCCGAAAATTCAACCGTTAAAGGAAAAATTTGGTCGCCCTTCATTTGCACCATATCCATATTCATACGAAATCGATCATTTAGAATATTCAAAAGGAAACGTTACTTATTTATTTGCCATTAACATTAACACCAGATATTTATATTGCATTCCAGTGAAAGGGAAAACAGAACAGGAAACAAGAAGAGCTATTCAATACTTACTAGATCATGAAAGAGTAGATAATATCAGGGGTGATAGTGATAAAGGATTTCAGGCAACTATGACTCATTATTTCCCACAAATTAATTTTTACTTTTCATCCTCTCCATATACGTTTCATAATAAAATAGTTGATGCGGTAATGAGAACTCTTAGAGATGCGTTAGGGGTTAACGGTCAGATATACTGGGATGGAAATCATGACTCCATCATACAACAGTTAGTATATTATTATAATAATACATGGCATAGAACTATAAACATGAAACCGGTGGAAATGAAAAATGATATTTCAAAAGAATGGGAATATATTAGAAAGCAAATGGAAAGGTTGAATGATGTTAAACGTGAACAAATTAATTCGGGGCTCATGAATTTTAAACAAGGGGATAAAGTTTTGATTCATCTCGATTATGGAAAAACTGATAAATCAATGACAAAAAGAAGACGAAGATTTGACACAATAGCTGAATTTGTTAGATATATTAACGGCAATGCATTAGTTGAAGTTGACAATAAATTAATAGAAATTCCGATTTATTTTATTACTCCATTATATTTAAATAATATTTAATTTTTTTTATTTCGTAAGAAATGAGTGACAACGAAGCAGTCAAGAGTCCAGACGATGAATATAAAAAGAAACTAAACAGAATTAAATCAAAAATATGCTATTACAAAAAGAAGCCACAATGCGGTGAGGTTGAAAACGATAAAGAAATAATCGAAAAATTAGAAACTTACCGTTCAATCCTTAAACTAAGTGAAGCAAAAATAAAAGAATTTAATAGAATAAATAAATTGATTGGAAGAGATGAATTTAATAAAGATGAATTTTTAAACTCAATCCAAAATTAATTTTTATTTTTCTTTGACAACATCTCTCTTTCCATCATTACTGCATAACCACATTTTCTCAGTTTTAGTGGTTTGTTATTTTTAGCAAGTTCTCGCAGCATTTTTATCGTTTCCTCCCTTGTTATGATTCGTGGTAAATTTTGAGCTTGTGGGGTATTCATTTATATAAAAATAAAATTTTGTTATCAGTTATTTTATCGTTAATGGTTTTCAGGTTATTCAATAATTAATTCAAATCATAACACCATGTTACCATGTGCTCCCAGGTCATTCAACTTCTCTGAAAAAATGAGACAACATGACATTTTGACAACAACATGGAAAATGATTTGTCATGACTTCATCGTAATGAGTGTAAATGACCCAAAAATAATGTTTAGGTGAAGAAGTGAGATCTCACCTCTTTTCTCACCTCTTGCTTTGTAGAACGAAGAGCATTCATTATACTTTGCATTTGGTACATGTCATCTTTGACCGAACGAATGAGGCGAAGTTGTTTGTTATACTGTATGTACTCGTATTCTTCATTAATGGCTTCATGAACGATAGTAGTTGTTGTGTTCTCTGATGTTGACATTACTGTCTTTACATACAAAATAAAAAAAACTAACTTTATTTTCTGACTTTCACAAAAGACAAAAATAAACGCTTTACATGTATTTTTCAGCAACTTCGTCAAATAATTTTATAGCTTTATCTATCTCATCTACTTCAAACGTTTCTTTACCTTTTATGGGAGCACCATACATTTTCTCAAAAACTTCAAGCAGTTCTGTTTCAGCAGCTCTCATATCATTAACAAACACAACCTTGACTCTATTGACTGTACTGTCATATCTTTGAGTTATATTATATGTCCTTCCTATCTTATATCTTTTTGTGTTGAAGTCCTTCGGTTTCTGAACGATGTAAAGTAAGCCTTCACTGCAACGTTCCGTATCGAATGAACCATATGTTATGAAGTTATATCCAACAACTGGGTCTAACCATAACAAAACTATTGGTATAAGACTTTTGTCTATAAGATATGCTCTTGTTCCATGAAATGCTACTGATATCATAAGCTCAGGATTTCTTGTCAAAATTTTCTGAGTTGAAGCATTTCTAACCCAGTCGTTTGTTTTCTTTTCAGATGGAGATATAATGTCTGACAAAGAATATTTGTTGTATTTCTTTGAGTATCTTACGTTTAAATCACCTATTCTAACCACTTTGGTGTCATCGTCTATCTTTCTAACTGTTTCAAACTCAATGTTTGTCATCACTGTCTTTACATACAAAACAAAAAAAGATATAAAAATAAAATTAGTGTTATTTTTCTAACTAATGAAATTCATTATTTTTGAAGAACTGATAGGGTCACCAGGTCACCAGGTCACCAGGTAATTTAACTTCTCTGAAAAAATGTAACAACATGACATTTTGACAACAACATAGGAGGATGGCATTTATTCATTATTTTTGAAGAACTGATAGGGTCACCAGGTCACCAGGTCACCAGGTAATTTAACTTCTCTGAAAAAATGTAACAACATGACATTTTGACAACAACATAGGAGGATGGCATTTATTCATTATTTTTGAAGAACTGATAGGGTCACCAGGTCACCAGGTCACCAGGTAATTTAACTTCTCTGAAAAAATGTAACAACATGACATTTTGACAACAGGGATGAAATTTGATGTAGTCCAAAAATAAAGTTAGTTTTAAAATTATTTTTTATTTTTTATTCCTATATAAATGACAGCAACAAACAACAACAGCAACGATATCGTTTCTGATGAAAAAGTTGATTCATTAGTTGAGGAATTAGTTGAGGAATTAGCTGAGGAATTAGTTATGGCAGAAACTAAAACCCTCAACGAAAGAATTGGTGAAAACAAGATTGATTTACATAACTACCTCAAATATGATGGAGGGAGAGGAAGGAAAACTGGTATGGCTTTATTAGTAAATAAAATTTCGAATTTAACGATTATAGATGTTGATATCAATAAATCGTACAATGATGAACTTAAAGAAATGGTTAGAAAAGACATTCTATCAAAACTTTCGGATAAAGATGTTATCGTTAAAACCGCTTCAGGAGGTCTTCACATTTATTGCAACACTAATTTCTTCTATGCAGTTTCGAACAGAATGATTAAATGTTATTCCTGCAATGATTATGATATTGACATAATGACTTCTATTGATGATTCAAAACGTTCTTTAGTAGTTATGGCTGATTCAAGAGTTCGCAAGAATGCAACAGAACCAATCAATACATACTCATTCATTCGTGGAAGTTATGATTCAACATTAACCAGAACAGTGAATGATATATTAAATGATTTGAATATTAAGGTAAGAGTTGAACAGAAGAATGAAGAAATAAAGACCATCGTCAATGAAAACAAAGATGTAAACATTGACGATAAACTAGCTCAGAGCATAGTTGATGGCATCTGTGATTTTGAAGTACATAATGATGGTGGAAACATGAATTTAGAAAAAGAAATAACATTATTCACATTGTTTCAAGCTATTAATTCGTTACCTAATCATTTGATTAATGAAGCATACGATAACGTTTATAACTTCTGCAATTTAACTGAAAATGCAAAAAGTAATTTTGAAAAAGCACGTGGTAGATATGCACATTTAATGACTTCTCCATTTGTTTTGGTGAAGATTCTAAAACTATATCAAAAGGAATATTATGATGAATATGTTTTACCTTTATTACGTAAGCCAAAAATAACATTTGATATCAAACTTGATGACTCGTTTTTGATAACAGATATTAGACGCAAGGCTGAAAATCATCAGTATAAAAACAGTTCTGAAGTAATTGAGGATTTATCACGTGTAATCCGTTTTGTAGATTGTGGAAACAAATATTTCATTCAAAAGGACTATAATATCCACGACAAAATGAATCAAATATCATTCGTTCTTCAGTCAAACATGAAAGAGTCACTCAAAATGATTAAATTATTTAAAGAAGAAGGTAAAACAATAACAGCATGGGATGTACTATTAAATCAATTATCTTCATTAACCGTTAAGGGTGTTTGCTTTAAATCTGATTCCCCCGATGTTTTCCCAACGTTTCAGGGTTATAAATACAACATTCTTGAAAAACCTGATTACTCAAAAATTGAGATGTTTATGAATTTCATTAAAGAAGCCATTTGTGATAATAACGATGAAGTGTATAAATACCTTCTCGGCTGGATTGCATCAATGATTCAACATCCTGGAATCAAGAATGAAACAGCAATTATTTTGAAAGGACTTCAGGGAACAGGTAAAAACAGATTTACAGACATTATTTCTGAACTCCTCGCCGGTTATTCATGCAAAAACATTACTGAAATAGGTGAGCTAACGGGTAATTTCAACTCAGTAGTTGAGAATAAAATGTTTCTTGTACTTAATGAACTCAAGAATGTAGGTGAAGACAGACTCGCAAACTTCAACGCTTTGAAATCAATTATTACGGATAATGAGATTAGAATTAATGAAAAGAATCAACCCAGAAGAACAGCACAAAACGTTGCCAATTTCATTTTCGTAACTAATAACGTTTACCCTGTCAAAATTGAAGTTGGAGACAGAAGATATGTAGTTTTAAGAGTTAATGGTAAATTCAAGGGTCAATTTGATTACTTCAAGAATTTAATGGATTCATGCACAAAGGAATTTTATGATAATTTACTGACGTATTTTATGCAATATGACCTTTCATCATTTAATGTACGAATCATTCCGATGACTGAAGCCAAACAAGATTTAATTGAATTATCAACAAATCCTTTAGATGTATGGATAAATACACATTATGATGAATTGTGTGTAGGTATGACGTGTAAAAATGCTCTATTCTGCAAACCATCAGACATGAAAGACAAGAATTTCCAAATGAGTATTAAGGATAAATGTGATAGGAAACAAAGAAAAATAGATGGTAAACAGACATGGTATTATGTTTTGAAAGAAGAAATGAAAGGATTATATAAACAAGTTGAACCAAACGATAATGATGATTCATTTACTGACGATGAAATACCTGTAAATGATGCTTTATAAAGTATGATTTGAATTTATTTTTGCCATCCTCCTATGTTGTTGTCAAAATGTCATGTTGTCACATTTTTTCAGAGAAGTTAAATTACCTGGTGACCTGGTGACCCTATCAGTTCTTCAAAAATAATGAATAAATGCCATCCTCCTATGTTGTTGTCAAAATGTCATGTTGTTACATTTTTTCAGAGAAGTTAAATTACCTGGTGACCTGGTGACCTGGTGACCCTATCAGTTCTTCAAAAATAATGAATAAATGCCATCCTCCTATGTTGTTGTCAAAATGTCATGTTGACAACATAGTGGGATTAATGCAAAAATAAAGTTTATGTTAGCATGTTAGATCTCACCCGTTTTCTAACCACTTTTCTAACATCGAAGAAAACTATTTACAAGCGTTTTACATGGTATATGTTGCGATGGTTCATGACTTTAAACAGTTTTGTAGCTTCTATTTCTTCACGAAGGATATCAAAAATTTTAACTATGCCGAAGGTTTCTTTATATTTCTTCTTGACATCAGATAATAGGAAATCGTCAGCAGTTGGATAGTTTTTGTTTAGAAATGTCAACATATCCATTTTATCTTCTGCTGGTTTCTCTACTTCTTTCTTTAAGTCAGCATAGTCGTTTCTCATATGTTCTATCTCTTTGACGGAGTAGTTATATTTCCTCATTGCTGCTTTACATTTTGAACATTGCGGATTCATTTTTGCGTTATACATTGAAATAAAACCAGCTAGAACAACTAAGGCGTCAATGGTTTTCTTTAACTCAAAAGCTGCTGGTTTTAACTGTTCATGCCATACCTTACCTCTTCTATCTTTATCTCTTATTTCCCAAACACATTCAGCAACTAATGAAACAAAGTTGTCGTATGTCTTAAACTCCCCAGATTTATATATGTCAGAGATGTTCTTATATACCATGTCGCAATCTTTGTCCATAACTTTATGGTTGCAATGATATCCTAGAAACTCATAGTTTACTTTACGTATGAACTTCTTTATTTCTACTGAGTCAGTTGGTTTCACTTCTATTTCATCGAATTCATGAATAGTGAGCTTTTGTTGTTGGATTTCAGGCAATTTGGGTAAATGGTCAATAATGTCCTGCATGTCATAAAGATACTGTTCATTTGTTTCATCTTTCGCACTACAGTCTAAATTACTTGTTAAAAGTTCTTGCTTAATTCTTTGTATTTCTGTCTCAAAAGTATATGAAGAAGGAATGAAGCTTTTCATCTCTACTAACATAGATGTTGGATTCATAACTAAAGAGTTTGGTGAAGTTGTTGTTTGAAGTGTTGTAGAACCTATTGTTGAAATCATATCTTTACATACAAGATAAAAATTTTTTCTTTGAAAAAAATTAGCGTTATTTTCTTTCATAAGGAAATGTCAAAAATTCATGATTTTCGAGAGTTTTAGACCATGTTAGAAAAGTGGTTAGAAAACGGGTGAGATCTAACATGCTAACATAAACATGATTTTTGTTCATGGACTTCGTCCTCGCCGCTTCGGTCTGAAAGACCTCAGGACTCAAAGAGTCCGTTTGCGTCTTTATGACAAAAATAAATGGTACCATTAATAATATCATGACTGTTCTCATTCATGTCTGATTTACATCTAATGAAAAAGTTTAGAAGAATTTTCTTATTCTTTCTGGCTTATTTTTGTCTTTCCAGTACTCCCGCCCTAATGGTCCCAGATGTGTTGTCATTGACTCTCTCAAGTTCTTAGATGGTATAACATCTTCAACGCCTCCTTCATATCTTACTTTATAAGTGTCATCGTTTATGTTATAGCCAAGTATTTCAATAACCACTCCTCGCTTTGCTTCGTCAATGGTTTCAGCAAGTTTGCCATTCCTACTTTCAACTAATTTATGTCGAGGGTAAAACGCAATAGAGTCGTCAGCAGCTTCATTGAACTCTATACCATGCGTAAACTGTCATGTAAGGTGGCATGTATTCTTTACCTTGTCCCGTTGTTTGTGTATATCCTGAAACGAAATGTGTATGGTTTCCTTCTCCCTGAGTGTCACTCCAGTAACAATTTATAGCAAACTTAACGTCGTCTTTAACATCATATCCTTTACCTTTTGTCATTCCTGACCAATCCCAATATCTATGCTTATGCCAACCCGCTTGAGATGTACTTAAATCTATGTAGTGACTGTGTGCAGGTAAATTTTCACCTGTAATCGTTTTACTTCCACCCATTTCCTTTGAAGAGTTTGCACAATACAAAAACCTGTCGACTATTTGTTCCCATGCACCAACACCAAACATTGCTTGAGGACCTCTTGCATCCATAGATGTATAAATAGAACCTACCGGGTTCATTAAATCAAACATATGAGATAATATAGGATTGTCTCTTTTGAACTTAAAATATAGTGCAACTATTTCAGGTTTCTTCTGGTTTGTGTCGGAATATTTTTTATAATAATATCTTATGTTTTCAGGGTAGGTAAAATCTGGACTATAATATTTATTTTTGTCATCTATATAATAATATACTATTCTCGTTTTTTCTATTGCATTATATCTTTTATATCTATAATAATCTAAATATAATGTTAACTTTTGTTCATCTACATGTGGTGTTCTGACGTCATCTCCATAGTCATAATAATATGGTGCTGGAGCTGGGTTAGGCAATGCCATATCTGTCATTTCATAAACTCTTAAATATTTCTTTTGTTCATCTCCATATAAGTTTAAGTAACAGTTGTTGTCTAATGGAACTTTAACTTGTGTACCATCATTCTTTATATAGCTTACATACATTTCATTGTTATTTTTCGGAATGAGTTTACACCGCATACCATTTCTTAAGGACTGTACAAACTGCCATCTAAAATATTTATTTTCTTCATTGACAGAAAAGTCACCAACAATAGTTTCAATATTTTTAGTTGTTCCTATCAAACTTTGGTATATTCCATTAACATATTCATTATCTACCTTCTTCTCTAACTCACTGTTGACATATTCCTTATCTGCTTTAAGGTCTAAACATCCTGAAACCCACCCTGTATCAGCTTTAGTTTTTAAAATCTTTGATGCCCATTCATGATACCATTCAACCCTTTCTTTAATTTCATTATCTTTTTCATTAACATATTCCTTATCTGCTTTAAGGTCTAAACATCCTGAAACCCACCCTGTATCAGCTTTAGTTTTTAAAATCTTTGATGCCCATTCATGATACCATTCAACCCTTTCTTTAATTTCATTATCTTTTTCATTAACATATTCCTTATCTGCTTTAAGGTCTAACTCACTAACCACATATTCCTTATCTGCTTTAAGGTCTAACTCACTAGCCACATATTCCTTATCTGCTTTCTTCATTATGTCATTTAGGAAACCTTTTATGAATTCCTCATTTAAATTAAATCTTCCAATCTTCAAAACTTTAGGAAATGCATTTAATGCGTAATATCTTTGTTCTTCTGGTGGAATTGATGTTATATCATCCGTTATTCCTTTAATTTTTGAATTCATAAATAAAATTTCTTTTATATTTGATATCACTGCACCACCTTTGCAAACGAATTCGAAATGTTCATTTTTCAATACTATCTCCAAATCTCCATATTTCAACCTTTGCGTTTGTTCTGCCGTCTTTGAATTATATGCATATATGGCATATGTAATGGTCTGTGCCTTATTTTGTTGTGGTTGCTGTTGTTTAATCATTTATTATGATTTAAAAATAAATATTTAATCTGTTATCTCATCAGCTATTTTTTCTATTTGAAATTGCCATAATATTTCATTCATAAATTCTAAATCACAATCAAATAGGTCAGTTATTCTAAATTTAATATTTGATAAATCTTTTGAATGAAGAATAAATGAATTCCCGGATAATTGAAACGGATATGATAAAGAAAATGTGTTTAAGTTGATGGATAAAATGTTTTGTATTGATGGGTAAGAGTTAGGGTCTAATGTTTGATGTGAAAATCTCATTGGGGTATTAACTTTATCACATTTGATTAAAATGAAATTGGAACCAGTGTCAGAATACAAAACATCCCCAACATCTTTTTCAAAATTTAATATCCCCAACAATGAACGAAGATGAGGAGTACAAAATTTAATTTTCAGCGGAAATTTAATAAGGTTATTTATTTCATCAAGTTCAAAAAGTTTATCGGGTTTTGATTTAAATTTTTCTTCATACCATACGATAAATGATTCATTTAAATAACTTAAAATCATGTTAATATCCCATTTCGCTATCACATTATTTATATACATATCATACGTTTTTTCAAGGTCATCTTTAATAAATGATATATAATCTGAAGGGTCTAAAAGAATGGGATTAAATTTACCACTCACAGAAACGAGAGTAACATTATAAATTCCACTAACTGTTAAATTTAATTCACAGTTATTATTTGAAATAATATTGATAATTGACATTTTTATTACGATTAAAAATATGGTAAAGCGTTATTTTCCAGTGATAAATAAAACTAGAATAAGATTACCTCAAGAATTCATAAATTCAACGAATAAGAAATTCATTCATGTTATAAATTTTAGTGTTTTCAGAAAATACGAGTCAATGTCATATTCATCAACAGGTTATATTTCACTTCATTCAAATTTAGTTCAATCAAACCCATATAATGACCATTTCATCAGATTTTCAGATGGTATTAAAAATGTAATTGATAGATTAAAATATGAACAGATTGACAATATCGAATTTTTGGAATTTTGGTTTAAATATCCTGATGGAAAAAAGATTGAAGTTAAAGATAAAGCTGATACTATAACAAAAACAATTACAATGACCGATCCGGATAGTGGGAAACAAAAAGAAATAAAACAAACGATAGAAACTGGTGAAAGGTCAATTATTATTGATTATGATTCAAAGGATTATTATTCGATAATGTTAATGCTTGAATATTAAATAGCCTTAACAAAGAATTTTTCAAGTGATATTTTATATTCATCAACTATTTTATTGTATATG